ATATTGTCTCTACTGTAACTGAATGGTCACACTGGGAGATTTTCTTATTCAGAGGATACCTGAGCTGAGCAAAGCAAAGTGTAACTCAGAAGCAAATATGCTGTTCTTTACAGATTTTTGAAAACTAAGTATCGAACAACCAATGCACCCTACTGGCTGTGTTATGGAAGGTACACAGCATATTTCTATTATGAATAGCTATTAAAATTAAGTAAAATTAATTAAAAAGTAATCAATTCATGTTGAGTATCCAAAACAAAGCAGCAACTACATAAAATATTAAATCAGGAAGTAACAGTGTCAATCCAAAGAGAAATTTTCATTTATTCTCATTAAAACCATGACAATACTGAATTAAACAATTAAATTTTGTGGTCATTTCTAACCCATTTTAGATTGAAACTGTTGGAACCTTGCTAACTAAAAAGGGTTTCCACTGGCTTTGAGGATTGAGGCCCCAATTTGAGGATCAATACTTATAGTTAAACATATGCATGCAAATATTTCCACTGGAGAACAGACTACCCTGCAAATGTCTGCAGATTTAGCAGTATTTGCTTTCTGCATACTTTTATCGTTCTTAAGTAGCTCCTCTTACTGCACCTTACACACCCTGCAGTCAGACATTGCTTAATAACTTCATCTGGACTGCACTGGAGCTGCAGCTCTACCTTGACATTGCCATTTCCAACAGTTTTAGTACCATTCCCACATAACAATCAGGGAAGCAGAGACAAAGGCTGCATATTTATTTGTGTGAACCTTTTAATGAGTCATAGCTTATCATGCCATTGAGGCAATTAAAACATATGTTTAGACACCTGGCACTAGCTATCCAAATGTAAACCTAGCCCAGTAGTCCCAAATCATAGAATGACTTAAAAGACACACAAAAACAGTGGTGGCACATGACACGTATGTACTTTCCAGACAGAAATTATATTTTTTAAAAATTAAAAATTACTAACAAGTTATATCATCCCTCTGACATCTCCTTTCTATTAATTCCTTAAGATCTTTCTAAAAGTCCTAAGTGTATACTCAGTTTCCTAGCACTGATCAGGCCACACGAGATATACCATGACCAAGGGGAATGTGGTAGAGATCCCTGCAGTTGCTCTTGGAATGCCACGGAGTGATTAACACTGACCCCGCTGCTCATTGAGAATGCACTATTAGGATATGCAAAGTAACTTACATGGGGATGGAGAAAGGCTGTATTCCTATTAGCATTCATGGGAGCTATGCAGCTACAGTCTTGTTCATCAAGTTTGGAATATACCCTTTTGTTATTGATGGGAAAATGTCACTAGTTACAAATGGTTACACACAGGGGTGTAGCAGGGTCAAAGCAAACTCCAGTACTTTCTTTCCCCCTCTAAGGCAGAGTGCTGCTTCAGCAGTTCTTTTTTGACCTGATGGTACACCTCTTTAGATAAAAGAAATGGTGAAATCCCCTGCCCTGACCTCTTCTTCAGCCTCACCAGCCAAACATTAAAGAAAACCTCCAAAAGGATATGACATTAGTGGTGTATGATGGGACAATCATCAGACACTGCTGCAGGCATCACTGGGTATGGAGTCTGCCTTCAAACTCCTCTCCAGGTCCACCCACAGCTCTGATGGGTCTCATAAAACAGTCTTTCAACAGCATGAATAGGGTCTGAGTCATCAGTTTCCCAGCTACAGACAACTACAGTTGCTTCACTCCTATTACTGAAAGCTTCCTTTAAAAACCAAAACAAAACTGGTCGGTGCTTCAGATATTCTTTGCCAGATGTGGCACAACACCTCTTAATGGGATTCTGTTCACAGAGTTGCAATACCTTTTCGTCAACTCGAGATCCCACGAGAAAACTTAGGGTCTATGGGAAATTAATTCAATTTTGTCACCTTCAATATTGCTCGTGCTGGAAATACAGTTGGTGGAAGATTCAATCTACTTGCATTGTGCCATCCCCAGAAACACAAAAAATCATTCTGGAACCCCTACAGGTATGTTCACACATATGTCATGCAATGTGACAATCCAAGCTTGTCTTTATGGTAGAGCAGCTTCTACATAAGCCTGTATTTAAGGCCTTCGTTGCAGCTCTGTTAATTAGTACAAGCCATATATCTGACCCACAATAAAAACAGAAGGCTTATTTCTGAGCAGGCTTTGATTGGGAAGATGCTATGAAATACTCTGAACATATCCCTAGTTAGGGTCCTAAATGGTTTAGAAAGTCTCACAACTTGTGAAAAACTTCAGTTTGAGGGAATTCTAATTATAATTTGCATCCACAGCAATATTTCAACAAATGCAGTAAGAAAGGCTGAAAATTCACTTCTACTAACTGTGTGCAACATCCTAAAGGAAGGAAATCCTGTTTACACATTAGTACTGTTCCATGCTTCTCCACAAAGGGCAGCAGTTGGACCTGCCCAAGCTGGCCAGCTCATATTTTACGCTTACTGCTGACTTTTGCACTTGAGAATATTTACATTCTTTCACGCAAACCTTCTCTTACACCATAGAGCTTCTATGCTCTTGACAGAACAACTATGCTGAAATGTATTGCTTTTCTTGTTCATGCTATTCAGCTAAGGAATACCTAGACAGCCTTAGGAATACTTCAGTTCTACCCAATCCATCCCTTATGTCCTGGGTTGAGTGAGTGGTGGAGTTTTTTGGTGGCAGGGGAGGGGGCTATCGTGGCGGCCCCCTGTGAGAAGCTTCTCGAAGCTCCCCCAGCTCCACGTCAGCCCCACTTCTGTTTGGGAAATTGAGCCAATCGGCTGCGCCTCTGCGATAACGTATTTAAGAAGGGACGTGGTGACGGGCAGTCGGACTTGTGAGGAGGAGTTGCTGCAGCTGCATGAACACCAAGGTCAGTGGAGGAACGGAGGAAGAAAGGAGGGGGGAGGTGTGCCGGAGCAGAGACCCCCCTGTATCCTGTGGGGAGACGGCAGGGCGGCCCCCCCTGCCACCCATGGAGATCTACGGTGGAGCAGACACTGATTTATGGCCTGTGGCTTCCGCCTGGTTGATCAAGTTTCTGTGCCTGAAGAAGGCCGGGGTCTCATGGGAAAAGGCAGCCCCGCTGCTGTAATTCAGCGCTGGGAGGATTGCAGCATGCGGGGGTGTCCCACGCCGGAGCAGCTCGGGAAGGGCTGCAGCCGTGGGAGGGAATCCAGTCGGAGGAAGTTAGTGACCCATGACGGAGCAGTGTGGGGAATGCTGCGGCCCGTGGGAGGAACTCATGTCGGAGAAAGTTTGTGGAGGACTGTCTGTTGTGAGAGGGGGACCACGCTGGAGCAGGGGGAAGTAGTCCCAGAAACTCCCCCCACGGAAGATGGCAGAAGTGGCAGCGCTGACTGCACCCCCCATTCCCTGCCCCTGCGCCCCTGGGGGAGGAGGTAAAGATATCGGGAGCAGAGCTGAGCCCGGGAAGAAGGGAGGGGTGGGGGGAAAGTGTTCTCAAGATGTGACAATGCTTCTCACTGTCCTATTCTGTTATGTGTTGTTAGTGTCTGTAATAAATGTATGTTCTTTTTTTTTTCTTCCCCTAATGAGTCTGCCTTTTGCTTGTGACCATAAAGGGGAATTTTCTCCCCATCCCAGTCCTACCTCTAACCCCAAACCTGGCTCTCTGTCCCTTCTCATTGCCGGAGGGGAAGGGAGAGAGAGCTGCTGCATTGTGGTAGGCTGCCAACCAGGCCCAAACCACGACACCTTATCCGCAATAGAGCACTATTTTAAGGTAGTCACTGAAATAAATACATTTACTCTTTAAGCTGAAACACAAGAACACACTGGACCTTGATAGCTTATTTTACAATGCCTGGAAATGTGGCTTCAACCTTGTTCAGTTTCTGCAGGTGTGAAGTGTCACACTCATTAGAGCTACCTAATCGTTAGATCAAGTCATGTAGTTCCCAAAACTAAAGTCATAAAGTCATTCTGCCTTTGTTAATACCAAACACTTTTCTAGCCTCTTCGGTTGATCAGAAAAGTCTGAAAACATTGCACAACAAAGCCCAAAAACAAAAGGCAAAAAAACCCTTTTTTTTTTTTTTTTTTTTTTTTAAGATTTTAATCTGTTGTAGAACCAGACTTGCAACCACATTTGTCTTCAGCAACAATGCAATCATTTGTTACAGCATATTCAGCCTGAGAGCTGTCAGCTTTTCTAAGAAATACCGTTCTTGCTCCTGCTGTAATGAAAAACTTCCTTCTAAGGCGGTGTCAGAAGAAACCCACACTAGATTAAATTTACTATTTACACTAGGAAGTCCCCCTATCACTGCCTATTGCTTCAGTAACAGCGAGAGCTGCAGACAGTAGTGAACATTACACTACCAGGGAAGTAAAGCTGAAATATCTACTGGGTTTAATTTGTGGTTTCTCTTTTATGGAAAAAACAAAACAAAACAAACCAAAAACAAAAAATATCAGCGTGGGCTGCACACCTGTACCTCTGCAGCACTAGTCCTGAGGAGGGTGGAAAAAGGGTGAAAAGGGTGCAGGGATAAAAACAAAGTGGCTGGCAGCTTCTGGGTGAGCAGGAAGGCAGAGCCTAAGGAGGCAGAATTTGGGAGAGAGGGGTGCGGGCTGCTACAGGTTCTTGTCATTATCTGCCCGCCTCAAATGCGCGACAGCCTCGTGCCCGAGCAGCAGCTTCTCCACAGAGGAGCGGTAAGAGCGATGTATTAAAACCTCAACCTGCGGGGCTCCGCCGGCCCCTCACCCCAACACATCCCCCCAGAAAACCCACCCCCGAAGCTCCCCGCCAGCGGACACAGCTCCGCCGCCCTCACCCTCCAGCAGCTCCCCCACGGAACTCCTCTCCACCGCGGGGCAAAACCCACGGAAGGGATCCCGCGCGGGGCGACCGGACGCCCCTGAGGGGTGAGGCGGCAGGCTCCTCCCCGCTCCCCCAGTCCCCCTCAGCACCTGAGGGGAAGCGGCGCGCGGGCCCTTTAAGGGCGGGCCCCGCCGGCGGCGCGGCGGGAAAGGGGAGGGGCGGGGCGTGGCCGCCGTGAGGACGTGGCGGCCGCCATTGCGGTGGCGATGAGGAGCGGCGGCAGGTAAGGCGGCAGCCCTGGGGAAGGAGCGGGGCGGCGCGGCGGGACGGGGCCGTCTGCCGCCTCGCCGGGGAGGGAGCGGGCGGGCCACAGGCTGCGGTTTGTCCCACAGAGCCGCCCAGCGGAGAATGGCCGGCAGAGGCGGCGGGTGCGGCCCGCAGCCGCCCGCCCCCGGCCACCCGTACCCCTCGGAGGGCGAGGGGCCGGAGGAGGAGGAGGAGGAGGAGGAGGAGGAAGAAGAAGAGGAGGTGTCGGAACTGCGGCCGCGGGGCAGGGAGAAGGTGCGGAGGAGCGCGTCGCGGGAGCGGCTGGACGGCATCGTCCTGCTGACGAAGGACGTGGAGGAAGGGGACACTCTGAACGCCATCGCGCTGCGGTACGGCTGCTCGGTGAGTCTCCCCGGACGGGTTGGGCGCGGCGCTCCCCGGGAGCGGAGAAGCCGCGGGCAGGGTTAAGCGTGGTGGCGCCGGCGGCGGGTGCCGCAGCCCCGGCCTCCTCGGCGGCCGCGGAGGCGAGCGGCAGAAGCAGAGGTGCGGTTTTACTGGGGGGGGGGGGGGGGAAGCTGTCTGTCTGTCTGTCCGACCGACCGTGCGGTAAAAGTTAAAACTCCACGTGGGAAACTTTCCGGCGCCGTCTTGGCTGTCAGAGGTGGTGAGGAGGAGGGTAGTGCTGCACCACCCTCGGGGTTTGTGTGGAGTCTGCGTTTCGTTAAGGGGGGGGGTGGGTGGGTGGAACAAGACAAAAAACACCCCAAAACATTGTAGTTTTCAGTTCTGCTAAACTACCTAAATACCAGCACGAGCACGTTGTAGGGTTGGCAGCTCTCTGCCCACATGTTCCTTCATGGTGCTCAGGCCTCGCTACTGCTCCTTCGCTAAAACTCCTTAAATTAGTCTCCTGCATGTCCTTCCCAGCCAGTACTTTTGGCTGACCAGCACTGATTAAGGCAGAGGCTTCCCTCTTGGTCAGAGTTAGAGTTTGCCTGTGCCCAGTTCTAACAGGAAAACAGCTGTGCGCGTCAGTGGACTGGCAGCTAAATGTGCAGTTTTCAAGAGGTGAAAATTAGGCAGATTCAGAATCGGTATTTGTAGAAGTCTTGATGTTATCTGATTCTTAAGGCAGAAACAAAATTAGGGGCCTCCTATCGTGAGCTTAGGTACCAGAGTCTTGACATAACTGTTTCATAATCATGACAGACCTTAGCCTCATTAAGCAGTTCCTGGCTTCAGAATCCACTGCAGTTAGGTATTTGGAGCAGACTTACTAGATCAGGCCTCAAATAAGAAATAAAAGATAACTGAGTTGTCCTTTTTCTTGAAAACCCATGGAGAATGTGGAAGAGCGGTCCAGGGCTACAGGCAGAAAGCATAATTTTGGTTGTGGTAGAATCACTAATCACTGGGGTAAATGCTGTATTTGGCAGTCTTCGATGCTCATCTGATTTATTCAGCGTGGTGCACAAAAGAAATACACTGTCATAGGAACTGCAACACTTTTTCGTGTTTCAAGACTAGCGCAGTGATCACCCTAACTTTCTTTTTCTGGCCACATCAGTGTTGTAAGTGGAGCAGTTCGCAGCAGCGAGGGTCTCTTGACTGCTGTGTTTGCTGTCTGCAACTGCTGCTGAGGTAGATGCCCTCCCAAGGAGGGCAGGAAGGATCTGAACTTGGGTACTGTGCGTCTTAAAATGGGCACAATTCCTGTGTGCTTACCAGGTGTTGCAAAAATGTACGGTTTATTTTTAAGTACTTCATTATGGTGAGGTTTGTGGCTGTGCCTTCCCTGTTGAGGGAGTTTCTGTCTCAGAATGAAGCTGCTAATTCTCCAAGGACACCTAAATCCTTGTAGAGTATTTCACCTTAGACTTAAAATCTGAACTTATAGAGAGCAAAATGAAATTCATTTTCAGCAAGAATAGGAAAAGGGGAGAACTAACTTGATGAGGAAAGATAAGGGTTTTAAGTTATGCTTGGTTTCTGCCTTAGCCCCCCAGAAGCAGGGGGAGTAGCCAAACCACAGTTGTGGCTACATTATTTGGAAGCTCATAATTTTAAATATTACTTACGTAGAAGTTATCAATTTAATTAGGAACTCACAGTAATTAAGTGGAAAACAGTGAGGTGAAGTCCCATTCATTTCACAGAGATAGTTGCCACTGATTGATTATACATTGTCAATATACTTGTGAAGTGACTTTCAGTCTTCTTATCAGAAGTGAGGAGATTTGTTACCTATTAATTACCTTCTTGCTTTTACATTGTTCAGACCTGGTCTTTGACCTCTTCTTGCCTCATACTGTTTGAATGGGTATTGGTTTTAAAAAAAAAAAAAAAAAAGAAACAAAGGCCCTGGGAAGAATTGTATTTCTCGAGGATGTAGTACTTTAAAGCATTTGGGTTCAATGGGGCTTTGATATTTAAACTGTTGTTTTTGTTTTTAGGTTGCAGATATCAAGAGAGTTAACAATCTTATCAATGATCAAGATTTTTTTGCCCTGAGGTCTGTCAAAATTCCAGTGAAAAAGTTCAGTGTATTGACGGAAACGCATGTCTCTCCAAAAGGAAGACCAGTCCTTCGGCCTGCTCACTGTTCCCTGGAAACACAGGAAACACTGTCTTCTGATAAATTCTCTCCTAATGAGACTGCTGGCAACTTCTTAAAAGAAGTGGATCGAGATATAGAAGAAATAGTTAAGTGTAATGATACAAAGAGAGAGAATCTTAATGAAGTTGTTTCTGCCTTAGCAGCTCAACAGGTCTGTTTTGAAACTGATGGTAAAACTAAAAAATGCAAGGATCCTTACTACGGAGCAGATTGGGGCATAGGATGGTGGACAGCTGTAGTGATTATGCTGATTATTGGCATAGTAACTCCAGTTTTTTATCTCCTGTATTATGAAGTTCTAGTGAAAGCAGATGTCAGTCACCATTCTACAATGGAATCTTCCCATTTATTTGTCACAGCAGCATCGCATCAGAAACAAATAGAAAATGGAGTAAATCCAGCAAATATTATAAATGTTGATAATCAAGGAGACCTTCAGCCTTAACAATGGAAAACCACAGTCAACTGTTGTTCATAGACACGTAAAATAGTATTAGATAAAGGGGAAACCACAGAATGCAAAATACGTCTGGAACGCACAGAAAATGCATCCTGATGTGTGACTTGCCTTTACCGGCACCATTCCAGTACAAGGATGTTTCTGTGAATCATGTAATCTCTGAATATGCCTGAGACAGGTGATTTTAATGTAAGACTGGGATATAAATTAAGGTATAAAATTGCCTCTGAAGCTTTGCACTTTTTTCTATTTTGATAGGCATATGTTTTTTAATTAATGATGAGGTGAAAAAATGTAGTTTGAACTAACACATGAGGAGTCTCACTGTACGTTTTACAGCCCTAAAATGGGCATTTGGGGATATGTAACTTTTAAACATCTTAAAGTATTTATAGAATGCATAGTACACTTGACATTTTAATATCAGGTTTACAGTTGTCAGTTAAAACTGTGTTCTCATAATTTTATTTTTCTTATAGAGTAAGGTGGTTTTTTAAAAAACCCAGTCATTCCATAATTAATTGCCACTATGAAGTTCTTTTTTAAAAGTGACTTTTATAGAGGCAGCAGCTAATAGTTAAGCTAGAATCTTAAAATCTTGTGCTTGTAGTCAACCCATTCTTTAGTACTTTTCAGTATAGGCAGTAGGATAATATGTTTTCTGCACGTGTGACAGCGTGCCTCAACACGGTCCAGTTGGGAGAGTCATGCTGAAACTTCATATCCTTCCATGGTATCCTACTGAAAACTGACTGGGCTGGAGTGCACTTCTCAGCTGTGTGTAGGAAGGAAGAAGTGCAGATGTGTGGCACCTTGCTGTGACTGCTTCAGTAGTCTTTATTTTATGCTGATGGATTTTTTTTTTTTCCCCCTCCACTTAATCTCAGTTCAGGACCAACTGATTCTTCAGACAGCAGTCATGTGGGTACTGAGAATGCTTATGATTGTGTGCCCATGAACCTCAAACACTAACTTTTTCCTGAAATCTCCTAGAAAACTTCAAATGAGATTTAATGGCTGCTAGCAAGAAACTGAAATTGCAGCAGAATAGACCAGTTGCAGCTTCAGACTTGTTCTTTATGTAGTAGTGCATTCATCAACCACTCTGTTCCTGAATGTTTCACTTGGGGTTTCGCGAACAACCTTGGTTTTCCTCTGTTTTCTTTCCTACCTGAAAATGCTACAAGATACACAAAAAACCTCTGGACTCTTCCTACAGAAAGAAAGAGGTACTTGTGTACTTGGAATTTTTTTAAATAAAAACTGAGATGCTGCCTGTAACTTTTTTGTTATATTTGCTTTCTGGAGTAAGATTTCCATTGCCCTGTTCAAAGTACCATTTGTTGCCAAAGTCCAAGATAACTGACTTGAATCGGATTTACAAAGTGAGACATAAAAAAATAACCACTGTCCTTTAAACTGCTATGATGAGCTTTCCTTTGAGTGACTTGACTAAGTATATATGCTATTAAAAAAAACCTGATAATGTTTCCAAGCTGTTGGAGGTATTCCAAAGTGCTTTATCACCTTAAATTTTGAAAGTAAAGACTCACACCCCGTGTTCACTGGCATGCCAAGTGTATGAAGATGAATTGGATAACTTTTAATGTATTATATTGAAATTAAAGCAGGCCGAAGCTTGAAGGGAAATGCTGTGCAGTTGGATCTGTGAACTGTGATCTGTAGGTCTTGAACCCTTTGATCAAAGCAGTATTGCTGGAGATAGCAAGACTACTCAATAGTTTCCACACTAGAAGAGGGATTGCAAATGGGCATGGACTTAATGTTTCACATAACACTTGTTTTCAAAGATCGTTTAAAATAATATTTTTTTCCCTTAAAAGAATCTGCCAATAACACAAGTATGAATATTGAAGTACCACTGCTAGGTAAGGCTGTAGGAAAAATTGCATTGTAAAATAATTTATGGTGGCTAAAGTGATACAGCTTCTGTGGCTAGAACTTTAAAAGGTGACTTGCTCTAGTCCAGGAAACAGACTGAAACTTGGTACATAATGTCAGTGTTTTGCTGCAAGCTTATTACTGGTTGGCTTCTTTCCCTCTCATTCTGTTTCTGAAACCTCAACATTTTTCATACTTTATCCTTCCATTTGTTACAAAATTCTTAAAGAACATGAAATTAGCTATTGTGATGATGCAGCATAAGCCTAATTTACTGCACGTACCTGAGCTGATGGTATTAAATTGCCCTCAGTATAGAAGTGAGCTTGAGTTGTGGTTTGACTGTGGGGAGGGTTTCTGTCCTGTTGGTGTAGGAGTAGAGGTTGGTTGGTTGTCGCCCTGGGGTGGTACAGCTGAATAGTTTTCCAGTGTGTCTCAGGCTTTGGCCGACTGTTAAGTGTGGTGGGCCTTTATTCACCTTAGGATAAGCAGTCATTAGAAAAACACAAAGGGATAGCTGTTTTATTGGACCGTATTATACTCTTAACTAAAAGCCTAGCATGTTTTTACTATTTTATGATGTAGCATATTTCACATAGCATATTTTTAATTTAGAGAGTTAACTTAATCAAGATACAATAGGTCTCTTTCCAAGATTATAGGACTCCAGGTACTGGCGAGCTACAAGCATCAGCTGGCTTGCCTTGCTGCAGGATGCAGGGATCTTTACTGTTTTTTCCAAAGTACAACACAACTGGCAATGCATCATTGCATGTCAGCCCTGAATAAACAGGGTAACTGCTCAGTTATGGAACTGAAATCTGATTTAAGTTAAAATCTGTCAAGTTAGTCTTTTAGAAACTGACTTGTTTAAAACCCAACAAAACAGAGTGGTAAATCATTTTTTAGATTAATTACAACACATTGTTGATCAGGAAGTTGGTTTTAAACCTCGAGTGCATATTGCACTGTTGGATCATGTAAAATGTAAATGCTTTAAATCTGCTATATGTTGGAGTATGTCTCAAATAGTGACAGTGACAAATAGTCTTTGTATAACTATTTTATAAAGGCTGAAAATAAAACTTGTAAAATAATCCTGAATGAGGATGCAAGCCTTGTAAATAGTCCTGCTCCCCAGCTTTTAGAGGAACACAATATACATAATATAGAGACTGTGTTTTAGACTGCAGTGAAAGTGGTACATGTAATGTATTCTTAGCTCTAGATGCTTTGAGTGTTTTATTGCAGGAGGCCACCACTTGTATTTGTTTTGGCTGGTTTTTATGTATGATCTAAAATAAAGATCCTTGTCCAACAAGTATTTTGTTGGCAGTAGCTGCATGCAGCATTGACATCCACCATACCACAACTGGAGCCTTAATGGTTTATCCTGTGCATGCCTTGTAGAACTTGGAACTTTTCTGCACAAAGTTTTGAGAATTCGTTAATTCTGAAAAATGAGGATTAAGAAATAGGCATGAAAAATTAAGGTACAGATCAGTAAAGTTCTTAGATGGTGATCTCCCTACACACTAAAAGCAGTGCCTTCCTGTATGAAGTTGCAATGTTCTGCTATGCTGTTAAGATAGGATTTGAATATATGCCTGTCCAAACCCAAAGATTGCCGAGACCAAAAGAACAGTCTAAGTTTTATCAGCATTATGGTCTTGCAATAAATTGTAAGCAATTGGAAAATCAGTTTATAAAAACAGCTGCAAGTGTTGGGCCTCTGGAACAGCACCACCTCATTTCACCTCAGCACAGAGCTGTATCATTGCGGAACTCTGCGTGTTCAGAAGCACTGGCCTTACTTGCCATTGTTGAACTAGTCCTAGAGGATCCATCCTAAGATTTTGTGGTTCCATCTGGAGGAAAGAGGTGACCATAGTTCACCCTTTTGAGGTCTCAGAGACCTGATTTCTGCAGGAGTAGTATTTCTCAACAGTACAGCAGGGAGGCAGTTGTCTGCCATTAGCAGTATGACAAATGAAGAAAGTCACCGGTCCTCAAGAATTACTGTCTGCTACAAAATAAGGTATTGTAGCTGTTCAGGCAAGCCAGAGCTTGTGACCATATTGTGACTTGTGCAGTAATGCTTTTCCAGCGTTAATTCTCTAGTTCTGTCTTTGGCAAAGCCATCCATTTGCATTCCTTGTGTGAGAGGTGAGAAGTCTCATTGTTTACCTTGCATAGGGGGGAACAGCTAGTAGAAGATAATTCTAGTTATACCCAAGGCAAGTGAAATTAATTTTTAAGATGCTTACCTTGTTCACATCTGTCTCCCTCTTGTGTATCACATGCAATAAACAGGCACACCAACTCAAGTAACAACTGCTGACCTATGTGATGTTAAAGGAAAATGAACAGACAGAACACACTTCATATGCAATGCAGAAGAATGTTTATTAAACCTTATTTCTATATGTTGGAACACTTAAAAATAAAATTGGTATAACTCTGAAGTGTGGCCTGCATAGCATTTTAGTTTAATTTCTTTTACATCTGATGGGTATTTTATCAGAATACTTAAAAGCTACACCTTAGGGAACTAATTATTATTGCATACAGAAGTTCATAGAATAATGCAGTACTGTTTTGCAGTCACCAGTGAGGTAAAGGAGTGCTTTACAGAAAACCAAACTTGCAAGGAAAACTTGTGTAGTTTCCTTTGCTAAAAAAATAAAATAGTTTTAACACTGTTCTTTCATTAGACCTGATAACAGCGCTACTTACAAGGATCGGGATGTTTTAAGAAAGTAAATATCCCACAAAACAACAACCCTGATCAATAGTAATATAATAACACTGACTAATATTTTGTGCCATCAAAGGACAACAGGACACACAGAATGCTCTGTCATGGTGTTCTTCAAATATTGAATCTCAGGAATAAGTTTTCTACGCTTCAGCTGTTGGTTCTTAAATAAAATTGATGTTTCCAAACACTCTGGTTTTGTTGTTGTCTTGATTTCCTAATTTCCTAATTAAAACTTCATGCATCAAAATACCTTACCATAATGCTTTTCTACACTTTTTTTGTGTGTTTGTTTTTTTTGTTTTTGTTTTTGTTTTTTTTTTTTTGTATTTGCTGTTAAGTTTCTGCCTTGTTTGTTCTGTAGGAAAATAAATAAGTGCATTAACAATTACATAGATAGCTGTCATCTGCCATCTCACTTAACAGCTCTGTGAGGTAAGAAAGTTAGTATCCCCTTAAGAGGCAGAGAAGTTGAAGCAAAGGACTGACACTCATCACTAATCTGTGTGCCACTGGTAAAAACCAGGATTCCATAATTTCTTAATCTTAAATTCTGCCATATATTTTTTCTAAATTTAACTACCCTTTGTTATTACTTACACTGATTCAGAAAGGTAACACTTAAATATTACAAGTACCTTTTTACTAAAATACTAAAAATAATGATTCTTTTAAGTAGAATAATAGCTCTTCAAAATACTCTCATTATGTTGTTTGTTCATATTACTAAGGCCTTTTCAAGTCAGTTTATATTAAAGTGCTCAGTTGTCAATTATTTTCAGTTACCTGAATTCAGAAGTTACATCTATTCAGAGAAGTCAACTGCCAAATATAAGCAGCTTAGGTTTGTAAAGGCCATATCTTTTTTTTGCTGCAGTCATCAAGAATTTCACTATTTCAAGATTTGACTGCTACAGCATGGAACTGACTAGTGCAAATGCTGAGGCACAATTTTGATTAAAATGCATACATTCTTTTTCTGTGCAGAGGCAATACAATGGCATATAGCTTACATCCTCAGTAGGCATTGCAGAGAACCTTAGAAAGGTGCCTGTCTGCAAAACATTTGGCAAAAGAATTAAACAAATGATCCCATATCCTGTTTTACAGCCTCATACAATTAAAAATAATTGTCCAACGTGTTTTTGGAGAGTATACTTAAAACCAACAGAGCTAAAGCATTAGGTCTGTTGATACTCAGCCTGCCTCCAAAATTCTACTTCAAGTAGTGTAAGGCTTGAGCAGTGTACCACATAGCAACAGTAACTAATACGTTGCTTCATCCATATTGTCATCACTGGCAGCATCAAAGTCATCTCCATCTTCAAAATATGAAGCAATGTAGTCATTTTCCTAAACAAAAGGGAAAAAAAAAAACATCGCTCTACCTGTGGAGAAGACAATTTATGAAAGAAACATGCTTTAAAGTGCACTTGAGTACCCATGTTTTGAAAGTTTTTTCTTGCTGTATTTCTTGGGAAAGAAAAAGGAAAATACTGTAATGAAGTTCTGATATCTATGAAAGAAAAGGCATCACTGTTTTAGTGATGAAAATTAGTAATTTTATGCATTGATTGTGGCAGGAGACATTCCTGCTTGCAAGATCTTTTTTCAGAGCTCTTTGGGAGTAACAAGTCTAAACCACCCACTTAATTTAACTGCAACACAATGTACTGCAATGAAGAAAACTAATGTAATAATGCCTCTCACTACAACTCTCCCTCAGAGTTGGAGAATCTGGGGACATTTCTCTGTCAGCATAGCACGCAGTGAGTGACTTTGTGTAAATAGGAAAACCAGGATACCTCTTCATGCTCCTCATCATCCTCCTCCGATTCTTCTCCCTTTTCATCATCTTCATCTTCTTTGTCTTTTGTTTCTTCTTTCTCATCTTCAGATTTTTTGTCTTCATTATCCTTCTCTTCCAACTCCTGTCACAAGGCAATCTTTTTTACAAGGTAATCCCATGTTACAGCAACAGCATATCCTCCAGTCTACCAAAATGTTACGCTGCAGTCAACAGCAAGACCATGAGCATAATGTTCCGCAGAGGTTTTTTGTCAGTATTTAAAACCAACATGATGAAAAGCACAAGAACTTCGTAAAGACTTACTTGACCAAGCATTAACCATCGCACTTGAAGACTATGTCTTGTGTAATTAATTTGGATGATTTCCCTTTACCATCCACTGTTAGAATAATTGACAGTAGAAGGCCATGTCATATTTGATAAAGGGATACCACATACTGTATAACAATGTACCTGCACCAAACAACTGATGGATCACCAAGAGAAAAAATACAAGGCTATTTCACCTTTAAGCTTCCCATTCCTACACAGTGGGTAGTCGTCTCCAAAACCAAGGTCACTTTCCTCCTAAGTTTCTCCTTCTCTGCGTTTCTTCCCTCTAAACTTAATAAATTGTTTAATTTCCAACAGCAGTAGCTTGGCAAAGCAGCAATAGATTCAAAAGCTCTTGCACCAATTGTTTCAATAAGTTTTACTGGTAGCTCTGCTGTTGTCTACACCACTACCTGGCGAAGAACAACTGGTCATTGTGTTCAAACAGGAGCAAAGAAAATAATTTCTCCACAGCCAGGCTCTATCCTTACCCTCTCCCTTGTACTACCACGTTGCAGGACAGTCCTCTGTCAGAGTAACAAGACAAGGCCAGAAAAATGCTGCTCTGGTTATTCAACTTGTACCAAAAAAACGTACTGAATGTTTCATTTTCCTTCAGTGACTTCTATTGTACAATTTAAAAAGAGTATGCACATCTTACCTCAATTTTTTTCAATACATCCAGATTACTTTTAGGCTTAGATATTTTTGCCTTTTTTGGTTTTGTACCTGCTGAAATAAAATACATCACTATTATTTTTTTAATATGGAAGAATACAAATTCTCTTGTTTTACTTGCTCTTAAGAATTTACATCTTGAGTATGCCATCGAAATCCCATACCACGTCTTAAAATTACCTTAGACTTTGAGCTACATCATTCACGGAGGTGTAAATGCTCGATTTACGTAAGTGATGCCTATAAGGCCAGTTTGAAATTCACCTTGAACAGATAGTTGACCAAAAGTTTGGCCAAAGTATGACATCCAGCTTCACAAAATACTTTTCAACTACATACTCACGGTATGTTAAAAACCTGGAACAAAATCTCAATTGTTATTTTTCATCATCTTGAAAAGATAAAAAATCATTGATGTTACTAATTTATGCAACACACAAATGACAGCTGTGTGCTTCAGATAGATAAAAAGAAGGCAGACAGCAGTTTATTGGCTCCAACACATCAGGCATGGTTACTGCACCCAGAAGACTTTTGGATCACAGTTGGCTCTCACCTCAGTGCGTATTTCCACCGAGTTCACTGATTCATGAATATAATCTTTATCAAATTACTCCCTACAATCCAACTTCATGATGCTGCTCAACTATATAGTGGAGTGAAGGTTAAAAATAGCATTCCATATACCCAGGTAAGAGCTACCTGAATTGCAGCACCCTAAAGTAGAGTTGCCCCAATTCCAGGAGTGCAGTTTGACCATCTGATGAGGAGAAGCAAACTGCTCCCAAGCAGGAGATGTTACAGGATAGATAGAGCTCTGTGAGACATCCCATTTCCACAATGCAACTGTCTTTTGGTTCTGCTATATTCAGCACGATCACGTAAACCTTACAGCACAGGGCTGCACCTAACACAGATTAGACAAGCTAGCTTGTGTAACTTGCACCTTTTTTACACAAGGTGCACTAAGTGGTATCAGAAGAAAAATAGTGTACATTGATGGAGGACAGATCCTTTCTGGAGCAGAAAGTAACCCAAATGAAGTTATGTTTTTTATCTGGCCTAATACTTAAGGAAACATAACACTAAGAGCTGCTAAGAAGACAACTGTATTTTGTCAAAAGCATTTGTCATAAATAACATTTGGTTCATTTCAGTGCTTTGACTAGGAAGGGATTATGTGACAAAAGCACTGCACAGAGCTGAGGGGCGTCAAGCTGCTTTGTAATAACATATGAACAGCGTCAAAGCAAACACATCCAGAATGAAGTAGGCTTTTAAGGCAAACAAGTGAAAAGTGCGATTCAAAATTGTCATCTCTGCACAAACTCCTGCAGACTTTTAGAGATAATGCCTATAGAACAAACAGCCTGGAAATGAAAACAGACACACAAGATCTTTCCTTCAATTCTGGGTCTCTCTGGAGCATACCATAAAATTAGATACACTGATCCACTGTTAGTAGAGCTTCATGCAAAATAGCTCCTTACATCCCTGTAGTTTAGAGGTAGAATGGAATACAATCTAATCTTCCCAAATACCTGTTCTCATGATACTTGGGCTTAAATACATACATCTGATTGCTATATACATATGCATACAGCTGGCCTACAAGATCTGAACCCGGTCAATGCTTTTTTTTTTTTTTTGGTTTGTTCTGTTTTTTGCTTGTTTTTGGCAGGCACTGATAGTATGTAGGATACTGTGGTCCACAGCCCAGGGTAAGCAGGGGAGAGACGTGGAGTTCTACCCAAAGTTTCACCACTAAGAAGGCAGGTGGTCAGGTCTTAGGTTAAAGCATTCAGGGAAACCAGAAAGGGTGAGGGAGAGGTGTGTAAAAATGAAGCCGTGCCTGTACATGTAACTGTGCAGTGATCCCCAAACCATTCCTGCAATCTACAAAGGTAGAATGGTAGGAAGCCTGTTTGAATTTCAGTGCAGATTCTCTTGATTCCCTCCCCTTTGTTCCACTCAGTTATAAAGTGTCACCTAAGACAGCTGTCCTCAAAATACAGTGAAGGTATGTACCAGAAGGGCTAATGTGTCACTGATCAGCTATCTACAAACCTCCTGAATCATAAGACTTTTCTATGGCCTCTGTGTCGTAAGGATTCCCCCCAAAAACTGAAATGATTTTTAGAGGAACCTTTTCTTTTATCCAATCAAATTCTGATGGTCAGCTGATCTTTGCCATTACAACTATGTAAGAAAATGTACTTTTAAGAGCAAATAGAGAAACTGGCACAAAAGAGGAAAAATCCCTCACAGTGAGCAGTGATTCTCCCAATGTTTATGAAAATCACATCATCACTATAACAAGGAATAATAAATTGGCATTTATGATTTCATTGGATTTTGGGGAGCAAATTATTGCATATAGGTTTATAAAAGCCAATGCAGTGTCTCCCTTTAGGAAAAAAAAAAAAAAAAAAAAAGTAGGTATGTACTGGTTTCACTTCTATAGATTTTGCAAATAAGTATTTAATTTTCAGTTGAATCTTGCAGTCTACCTTTAGTACCATGCTTCTCAGTGACTCTCTTAAAAGAAACAAAGCTTCCAGCTGAGCCAATCTCCAGGACTACTGCACATTCCCTTTTTCTATTTTATCTTTGAACTGAAAAATGACATATGAAGGACTTGGACAAAGAGAACAAGAAAGTAAGCAATTACATACAACAAACAGCTAGATACAGGAGGCCAAGTGTTATTTCACATCAACAGAGCAACAGACTTCTACAGAGAACTTAAAATAACAGTCATGCATACTAGAAAACACTTTGAAAAACAAATACACATATGATGCTGTACAATAAAAAAAGTTTTTTCCTGTATGAACAAGCAATACCAGCTCCAACTGCTGTTGAAGGATCTGGTTCACAATGCTGCAGAAGAAAGCTGAAAATAAACAAAGAAAGTAAAACCAGGGAAAATTGAAAATCACCTACGCTGTATCACATATAAAAGTCTTAAAAAAAAGGTAGAAGTCAACCAAATCATAAACAAGATAACTGAGAAACCCAAAATATAAAGGAAATCTGAACAGCCAGGTATTCATTGAATAGAAGGACAGGTGGTGTTTAAAGATACGAACTTTCAGAACAAAAGGTTTTGGTTTTTTTTACTCTTTTGCTGTTACATATCTCTTATGTTAATATGGTACATCAATATAAGAGGCAGGAAAGAAATATAAACCAGTTCCAGTAAGTTAAAACATCCTACAGAAGCAAAGCAAAAACCACAGAAGACAGGCAGACTAGTAAATTATTTAGAAAAACTCTGCCAAAAGCCCTGAGTATTTGGCTAATTAACCATTTTTTTTTTCTCCCTAAACCAGCTCCAGTATGTCTTCTATCACTCAGATACTGTACTAAATGCTTTTAAAAAATATGTAATATACCTTTTTTGGTCTTTTCATTTGGCTTAATCTCTCTTGGGAATATTCTCCAATCTGTACAGAAAAAAGCTTTAATATATATGAATGATGATTTACAGCAGTAATACTCCCCCTGCCACCCACCAAGGAAAGGCAGGGGCCCCTGTTGTGCTTGATCCTATTTACATGCATGACCAAGTGTTCTAGCCCACACCACTTTTACGGAATTCTAGCTGTACTTCAAAGTGAGGAATGAGAGTGAGGACTGGCATTTCACCGACTTAATGACAACTGGCATCTGCCCCAAAGAGACAAAGTTCAGCCCTTCCAGTCCACATGCCTGCAATTTACATTCTATAATTAAGTTTGCAGTAGTGAGATATACAGATATGGTTGTGGAAGTTTGATGTTATAAAATCCAGCTATCTGTGACTGAGACATTAGGCTGAGTTAACATGTTTATTCCCAGTTCAAAACTGGTATCTGCATGGCGAGTAAGGGAGAACGAAAGCTAGAGTGAGAGCTAAAGCTTGCATTTTTGCTGCAAGTCAGTTGTTTCAACTGAGTAAATAAATAAAATTAGATTTTTTAAAATATTTTTTTTTTTGATAAAACAGCACTTTGCCTTGATCTGAAAACCTGCAAAGGGCATAACCCTCAACAAAGACTGCATTATTTGGTAAGGATTTGCATACTTTTTTATTGCTTGAAAAATAAGGAATCAAATATTTAAAAGAGCAGAACATTTCACAGGTTAATAAATAATTAGCTTTTGAAAATCTCAGATATTACCTGGGGACCATGATGCATCCTTCTTTTCACTGTCCTGGTACTTTTTCCTATACCTTTCAATTACTACAGAGAAGGATACAAAGAGTTACTGAATTCAATTAGTTAAAAAGGCAATCCAGACACCATCCTTACCTTTTCCTGTAACTAAATTTACAGTGTATTTTTTTTAATCCCACACTGGACACTTTCTTGTGCTGTTTTCAAACACTTAAAGAACAGTTTCATGTCACTACTTTGAGCAGTTCCCATGATAGTTCCCAGGACTAATCATTTCTAAGTACAAAAAAAGACAAAACCCCCAAACATTGCTTTGCATTTTCTGGGTATCTCCTTTCAATCAAAATGCTCCCTCTGCCACCACCCCCAAAAAAAATTCACCAAAGCCCTATAAAATTATTATAATTTATACTTCTATTCTGGGAAAGCAAGAAAACATAAAATGCAGATATAGTCAGGGAACTGAGGTTTAAATATCAAATGAATGCTAACTCTTCAACAGTTTCACAAACAAACCTTCACTACAAAACCAGTCAGTGACATTCATCACCACTGTGCTGATCATAAAGTGTACCCAGAATTCCCAGGTCTCAGAAGGCTGCATCTCAGACTGGTCACGATCAGCTCCCAAGAGTTTAAGCACCTCTGCAATGGTAAAACTTTGCAACATAGCAGAGATGTGTCCTAAACAACAGCAACACATTTCAGTCCATTTAACCTCTTCCAAGGCAGAAGAACTAAACTGAGAAATGCACTGTAAATATTATAAGTACATCCATTTATACTGGAAAAAAACTTTCTTGTACAATCTCTAATGACAAAAGCAATATCACAACTTAAGTATTTTTAAATCAGTCCCATTTTGTCTTACCGAATTACCATGCCCAACTACAAAATCCACTTAATGCAAAATTACTGTTTCTGATTGTACTAATAACTCATTACCCAAAAAGGGGTAAATTTCTCAGGTATTGTATAAAAAATGGTAACAAAGACAGACTGTGACTCTTACAGGCTTCTAACACCATCAGCAGAGAAAAGGGAAGAAGAAAGACATCAGACATGAAGCTCAATTTTAAACTTAGTTAGGATGAAGGGAAGCAGAAGACCTACTTAAAACTGTGTAACAAAGAGCTTGCATTTAAAATGACAGTGTCTCAAGGGGCATTTAATGTAGGTGGCCTTCACAGATGCTGATGGAAACTGTCAGCACAGAGAGGGAAAGAAACGAGTAATTTTTATTTCAGCTCGAGGCTCTTTAGTGAAGAACTAATTGCTGATGCCATCAGTAAAAAAATACGTCTGACTGACTCTCGCCACTCACAGTTAATGAATTCATTCCAAACCACTGCCAAGGTGACAGTCACCCAGTCACAGCAGATATACCTACAGGAAAAATATGAATGATTCATATCTTATGAAGTGAGGAAAATAGAGAACTATAGAACACACCTGCTACTCATTCAAAATGGGTGTTGAAATGAATGATGAAAATCTATTCTCTATGGCATAGTAATGCATCAAAATTTCCAGGTAGTATTAGACATGACTTTCATTTACTACCTGAATAATGAAAGAAAGCTAGCTAGCTATGTCCTAACTAATTAAAATGTTTCCCTTCTCACACTTCAAAGGACTATTTGGCTCACAGATGTTGTACTGAGGGTTTAAAACAATCCATTTGCTCTTGTAGCAAAGCCAATTTAAGAAGTTCCTGCCCACAGTCCCCCTCCTGCCTCTCTCTTAGTCACACCAGACATTTTGATGAAATACAGGGGAGCACAGGACTGTAAACCAAATAACGGAAAAGATCAGTTAAAAATAATCTACCCTGGGGGAAGCGATTTTCTTAAAGCTAGGTCACTTCTGCCACATAATTCAGTCCCACAGACAACTGTGTACTGTGACCGAGATGAAAGCAAGCTTTTTAAGCTGCAGATCACCACTGGTGTAATTATACCCCACCCCTCAGATGAGGTATTGTTGTACAAGTAAAGGCTCAGTAAAAAGTTACCTCAACTTACCAATTTACCCTTGGGGAGATGAGGACAACATTTGAAGCATTATTTGAGTCTATCAAGAGGCTGTCTACCTGCTTTCCCTGCAACTGCCAGTTTTTGTAGAAAAGGTCATCAAAGCTGGCAGTTCTACTAAGGAGCATACTCAGCAACAGAGAGAAACCACTCCATCTCAGAAAGAAGGCTGCAGAAACAAAGATGATTCTGAGGTGAACAGTAAGAATGATCAGGTGAGGCAAAGCTGGGAGAGAGAAGTATGTCCTCATAAAGTGGCTGGTTCCTTAGAAGTAACCCTGGCTGGCTCTCAGGCATAGCAGTTTCCTTTTTTGTGCCTCAAATGGAACTAGCAAACTTCAAGCGTGACACAGATCAAGAGGATGGCAAGCCTCTGGTGGGATGAGAATCCAAAGAGACTGAAATTTGTTTACTCAGAAGATGAAAGAGGAGATGTGATAAAAGAGGAATTTGGAATTCTTCTGCCATCACAAAAGGATCTAGAAATGAAGGTCAGATCTGTTCTTGCCTCATAAGCAAGGTTTCACCTGTCTGCACTGTCAGGGTCCACCTTGGGCCATGCGTGTGCTGCACTACAGCTGCCTGTTGTGTCCCACTGGCGGCTGGGCTCCAGCTGCAGGTCAGAGCAAATATTCTGCCTTTTGTAGGCCACAAGGTTTGGTCGGCAGCGCGCTCACTGCTCACACTGCAGGGTGCTAGTCCATTTTAAAGTGTGCTTTCGTACAAGAATGAGTGGGCAATCAATAAGGTGTGTTAAATCGGTGTTACATTCAAAGCCTAACAAAAAAAAATTGCACTAAGTCTCACAACCCTCTAGAATTCACCACTATACCATGAATAAAAATTACCAAAAATTCAGAGGGGATTGGACTACGTACCTGTATCATACTGACATCATGAATATTCAGTCAGAAAATATTCTGATGGTTTTTGGTGGAAATTAAACCTCATGCTTCAGAGTTTAAGTCAGCTCTCATTAGTCAAAATCATCACAAGATAGAAGATTTCTTAAATATTTTTATGCTTTTTAGCAACTGCCTATTGCACTGACTGGTCCTAGGGTCTAACACATGTGGCACTTTCTAGTATGTCGTATTTACAATTTTCCTGTAACAGTACTTGCTATTTACACCATTCATAACAATTGCTCAGGAGGATGACAGAACTAGGCAAAAATCAAAAACGACAAGAAACACTCCTCACAGTAATAACCTCCCATGACTGCCAGATTTACAGTACACCCACAGCAAGCTAAACAGACATTAAATTCTTCCTACCCTCCTCTCCTTTCCTTCTTTCCCACTAGCTCAGTTTTCTGACCAGGAAGCTTGGATTTTAACAGTATAATGATGTATGACTGCATGTCAAGTATAGCAGGGCATTTATTGTTGTCAAACAGTAACAAAGCAGTTACTTTTTAATTATGTATAAACAAAAGACATTCTTAACTCAAGAGTAAGATCAAGCTTTGGCTTCTAATCCAGCTCTGCTTCTGAAACAAATCTCAGTAGAGCACTTATCCTCATCTCAATTTTCATATTTCAGGTGACTTCTCAGTAACACTTACTGACCTTTCCTGAATGGAGTTAGGGGGAAAAAGTTTAGTACCTTTTAGAATTTCCAGCCATTAAATAAAACATTGATTATTTTAAGTATGTATTTACACAATTAAAATGGGAGCTGAATCTCAACACTATTATTTACAACAGACTTCTTTGCTCTAATGCAAAATTTTTAGGGTATTTTAACATGTAGAATTGCCTATTTCACTTGCATTGTTTAGTATATAACTGAAAAGACTGCATATAGTTGGTCTAATGTTTCTTACTGTATATCAAATGGAATAGATGTTTGATACCTCTCTCTTTCACCCAGTAGTTGCTTTCCAGTTACAGCACTTGGAGGTGTGACCTACAACTTCAATAAGAGTAAAAGGAGAATCAGTCCCTATTACCTTAAGCTGCTAATTTTTATTCATTATCAGTACAAAATACATCTCCAACACATGCATTTTGCTACATCGTCCTTCACAAAATAATAAATACTGAAGATGTAAATAAAAAGCATACAAACAAACCTTCATGATGCTCTACTGTCAAAAAATATGGCATTGTTTTCAGAGTTCCTCTAAATTCTTGTTTTACGGCCAACATGTAATCTTCATCTTCTCCTGCTTTCAAGGGCACTGGCTTATTTTCTGTGCTCTGTACAAATTATGTTTATTATTTGTAGGGTCTTAACATCCATCAAATATACCGGAACACTAACAAAAGCTACAATAAACACAGCTAATCACAGAAGTGTGCAACTATGCATTATGCTACTTTGCACGTACATTTTATTGCATTCTGACATGCATAACTATGTTTACAACTAAATTGACACATTTTATGATTTTGCTGTATCTCTCTGCAAAAACACATCAAGAAATCAAGAAAAAAAAAGAAGTATTAAAATTGTGAAACAGTCATTCATAGACATGTTAGACTGTTAATTTCCAAAAGCAGTTTTTCACACCACCCTAACTTACTCAGAAACCACTGATTCTCTTTTCAGTCAGAGTAGCATTGGCCTTAACCTCTTCTATAACAGTGTTTTAACTACGTTAAGTGTGATTACTCTGAATAATGTGGACACTTTTACCATGTCTAGTGTCAGGTTGTATTGTCATACAACCAGGTAGCACACAGGTCCTCACACAATTCAGTTTCTGTCAGCTGAACTTAAATTAATTGTTAAGGTTTGGATTTTTGGGTTGTTGGGCTTTTGGTTTTGGGTTGGTTTTTTTTTTTGAACTATGAATCTTGAAAACAGGAAGGATAAATAAGAGAAAATAGTTTTAAAAATATACAGAACACTAGAGCCCAAGACAGAGTTACAGAATAGATGTTGCATCTCTCACACGACAGATGGTGCACAATCAAAATCAGTACTTGAGTGGCAGGTTGGAAAGCACAAAGTGCATGAAGTGCACAAAGTGCACAGAAGTCCCAGAGCTGGGTCATGAAAGGAGTTTACTGCTTCCAGCTGTCTTTGCCAGCTTGCCAACATTTTAAATCACTAATGTTGCTGATGGTAAACTGATGCTTCTTAATTGGGTTTCTGATAGCATTTACAGGAAATTTGTAAAAACTCAGAACGTGTCTATTAGAAATACGCAACAGCAACAATTCACTACTTGAAATAATTTCACAGTAAGTCAGTCAACATCTGTAATATACTTTTGTTCACTGCCCAGTTATTAAATCTAACTCTTAAAATTTTTGTTGATCCTAGTTATGCCACTGGGTTAACTTTGACTTTTTTGCATGGTACTAGATCTCAGCCAACAAGTTTAACTTGGTTATGAAACTTTGTACACAAAAGAAAGAAAGCATCCTTAACTTCTTCATGGTATACACTAGATATACTGGGGCTAGTAATTCTCCTACAGGGCTGATCCACTGCTGACCCTACCTGCAGAAGCTGTAGTTCACACAGAATTCAGCTTCCTTGTGCTATCAAGCAGACTGCAACATTCATATTAGGAGCCGTTACGGATGGCTTAGTATCAATGAAATCACACAACTTAATTACAAAAGTGGACTAAGAGGATATATAACATCTGGTTTGTTAAGTCAAAACCTTGGGTGAAATAACTATTTGGAGAAATCTCAGCAGAGCGCCAATTATATGTCAAACCTGCGAGTTCTGTATTGTAACGTGAGATTGAGAAAAATTTCATGCACCTTGATGAAATTCTGACATAATTGAGAAGTTCTCTTATTTAAAACTGCAACATGGTAACAATACTTTTCTGCCTCAAAATTGTCCAAGCTTCCTTGCATAGTCAGAAAATGTTCTTTCTTCCTTTTTAATTCTGAAATACATCCCAAATGCCAAATCTCAATTATGTTTCCTTGATTACATAAAATATCTTTCAGTTGTTTTCAAACTATTTTCACATGCTGGCTGCTGAGGTACAAGACAATCATCCAAAATCTTTTATATTTGCATCAACAGTATATGTCTATAAATGAGCAAATCCATTCACAGCTTCAAATACTAGTGTAACTTGATTTCAAACAAGTTCAGATATCAGTGATTCTGTTACTGTAATGTCTAGAAAACCAAATCACAATGAGGGCTTTAACAAATGGACATTCTGCAAGCAACCTAGTTAAATATGAGATACAACAATTAGCAAAGAGATAGTAAGTAATAATAAGAAAAGCAATTATTTACATTAAATACTTCAAAACTGATCTAAAGTGCTTAGGGTTGTTCAGGTATCTCATTACATTATCTAAACATATGAGTGAATACACTTTACCTGAACACAAAGAGTGTGCTCTAAGATACTTACAGGATACAGTGGTGGAGCCTCAGACACACTGTCAGGCAGAGCTGCACCTTTAGCAAAGCCAATAGCCTCAATGTTGAAGGTAAACACAGCGCGTCCTCTTCCTCTACCAGCCATTTGGAGTTACTGAAAATACTACAGATTTTTAAAGATTTGTTTTTGTTACATGTATCAAATGCAGGCAAATATTACCCATAAAATTAATGTCTAACAAAGATTGTAGTGATTTTAAAATCACTTTCAAAGACCATTTTAAATAGCAAACCATTTTAATGACCATGTTAGGTTCTTCCACATACCAGAAATTTGGTACATGCCTTCACTCCTTATTTCTGCTAGTCACCTCTGCACACCTAAAATTACCTCCTAACTTTGGAATTTTAAACTTTCTTCTTCTAAACCTTAGATGGGCTGACTTGAGTTCAATCAGAGTAGAAGAACCAGCAAAAGCAAAGCAAAGCAAAAGCAAAAGCAAAGGCAAAGGCAAAGTCAGAAAGAAAAAGGAAAAGGAGGAGAAGGAGGTGGAGGAGGAAAAGGAGGAGAAGGAAAAAAGGAAAAGGAAAAGGAAATAGAAAAGGAAAAGAAGGAAAAGGAAGCGGAAAAGGAAAAGAAGGAAAGGGAAAAGGAAGCAGAAAGGGAAGCGGAAAATGAAAAGGAAAAGGAAACGGAAAAGGAAAGGGAAAGGGAAAGGGAAAGGGAAAGGGAAAGGGAAAGGGAAAGGGAAAGGGAAAGGGAAAGGGAAAGGGAAAAGGAAAAGGAAAAGGAAAAGGAAAAGGAAAAGGAAAAGGAAAAGGAAAAGGAAAAGGAAAAGGAAAAGGAAAAGGAAAAGGAAAAGGAAAAGGAAAAGGAAAAGGAAAAGGAAAAGGAAAAGGAAAAGGAAAAGGAAAAGGAAAAGGACGTTCAAGGACCCTGAACTTTCTATGAATACATTTTGCAGTTTCCGAACTCTTCTCCAGAAAAACAGTTTGTCCTAATGGCTTCCTCCCCCTTCAGATTATTTACTTTATCTTTGTAGGTAGATTTGAGTATTGTCAAAGAGTAAAAGCAGAGAGTTTCAAGGTAAAAGCATCAAAGAACTTCAGCATGACTGCAAGCTAACTGCTGGTAAAAGGAGTTTGTTTCTGACTAAAATATTTCACCAAGGATAGAAAAGAAAAATAACTTGCAAAACAACATTTACAGTCACATATCACCACCTTCACAGTTACACCAATCTTCATCTCAGGATTGTATGACCCATGGGTTGGCAAGTAAACCAAAATGTGAGAAACACATTTTTTGCAGGAAGATCTCAAGAAATGAGACCCAAGAGAAGCCTGGCTGAAGCAATGTGCTACTGCTCACCTGTCAAGACCATGCAAAGACCAGCTCAAAGCCCCAGCTGAGAAATCCCATATGCTGTTTACCATTAATTTCAAGGTTACTATATTGCACTCTGCTTGGTAAGATTGTGTCTGTTCCAGACTTACTGCTGTACCTGCATCATGATGTCTGTTCCCACCATTATTGTGCAGGTGAGGTAACAAGTTCAAACAGCAAATAAGAAACAGCACAATAGCTACAGATTCCCATAAACTGGCCTAAAATAACAAGGAATCCAAGAGAGAATTATGATTAGGAGCAAAGAAATGAATACTTAAGATCTTTTAAGATTCCCCCAAATTGAAGCAGTGGCCTTTTTAATTAAATACCAGGCAGAAACAGGTTGATGCATGTATTTTCCTACTTATTATTTTCAACAGGAATAAGCTCTGCTTGGATAAAACAAAATCATGTTATCTACATCCACATTGCTCAGCAGCACAGACGACAGTCTAAAAATAAGCAGAGACATGTAAATAAATCATTTTAATAAAGATAACAAAGCCAAAGCTAAACCTGTGCATTTGATTAACTGGAAATTTTTAAAAAGTGTGATAATTAACAGAAAAATTTTGCTTTCGCTAAAATTAATTAAACAGTTACTTTTATTGAGTTAGGCTATAAGCTGTTATTAAAAATTAGCGTTGTTAAAATTATAACAGTTAAGCAAGCCTTTTTTGATCACAGGTTAGGCATATGGTTGGGCATTGTGTGGAGTTGGGCAAGCAAAAGGATGGGGAGGGTGGTCTGTGGTTAGGTATCATGTAAAGAGGAATGGAAGCTGGCAGAAAAGGGGTTAAGCGAAGAACTTCTGATGAAGAGGAACCTGGACTTCGATCCCCCCCAACCCACTCCCCCTCCCCCCTCAAGAGGACCACCAAGACCAGCTGTAAATTCCAGAGAAGAGGAAGGGGGGGGAAGGAAAGCAAGTGGACTTGTTGCTTGGCCTAGCTGTGCTGCACTGTTGTTTTGAGTTCATGTTTAAACCAAAGGTTATATACAACATTGTGGTTGCCTCCCCTGCTCAGCAGCTGTTTGTTTTGTGATAAGAAGTAGTGAAGCAGTGGAAAAGTGCAGGGAGAGACAGCCCTGAAGAAACCAAGAAGAAGTAACTGCACGGGTACAAAAAAGGAGGACTGGAACTCTAAAAAGAGGCCCCTGCTGGGGCAGGGCACACCATTGCACCCAGCGCTGTATTCTTTGCTCCACTGACTTTGTCCCCAATAAAACCTTTTTTTTATGTATACGTGGGCTTGTTTCTCACAAAAAGGAAAAAAAAAAAATAGCAAACTCATTTGACAACAGGATGAAAAGCAAGATGTGAACCTGGCAGAACAGAGAAAAAGATACAGTAAAGCCCCAAACATGAGCAGTTATATTACCTAGGTGTGAAAAACAGAAAACAGAAAAAAAAAAAAGTTGAGATGTCCAGCTACCAAGGACAGACACACAATTTGCATCAAATATGGTGAATGTAATGGTCAATTTTTAAAATGCTGCTTTAAATTTAATTCTTGGCAAGGTTCTCTGGAAATGGTGCAGTAGTCTGATGAGAAGTAAGAAGCTTTAAAACTAGCAGTATTTCAACTCTGCATTTTTACTGAAACTTTTGATTTTTTCAAGCATGCTGGCTTAGAAGCATTATGTCTACTGATACCATAAAGTGACAGCTGACTGGAGAAACCATGAAGGAAAGAGTTGTACAACTAAGTCACCAAGCATGACAAGGTTACCATGACAACTAGTGTTTTGGCTGCCGAGGGATGATGAATGCAAGACCTGGGCCCATTTTTGTGTGTATGAACAGTTTGTGTGTCATTTATAAAAGAGCGGGCAAATTTCAGACTTAAGCTTTTAAAATTCCTCCAAACCTTTGCACGCTGCTGCCTGGGCAGTCAGTCAGAGGAAGGATGCAGAGGCCTTTAGGGAGGGAGACAGGGTCCCTGCAATGGCCGGGTGCTTGAAGAGACTCAGAATTCAGGACAGCTCTCGTTATCGCACGTTTTCCTCAGAACGAAACTCTCAATCGCGTTGAGGATCCTCAGTTTTCAGAGACAGGTGCAAAAGGCAGAAGGGAAGAGCAGATAAAAGAGAAGGGAATAAAATTTAAATAGTGAGATTTTGTGTTTTTTTTTTTTTTTTTGTTTTTTTTTTTTCATGTGTCACCCCTGAAGGTAAAAGGGTGAAAACATTTGCCACACAACTGCCATGGGAGAACTGATCCCCTCCGCCCCTCCCCACCCTTTCCCACTCCCTCTCCCCATCCGCCTCACCGCCACTCCGTCCCAACCCAGCAGACACCCCCGGAGGGTCCCTCTGCTCCCCTCACTAAATCTGGGTTTTGCAGCTTTCCTTCCCTTCCCCTCCACAAACGGCTTCCCCTGAGGAAGCCCCCTGACCTGTCTCAACAGGGGAACTGGCTGCAACCCCTTCACCCCCTCATGCAATGGCTGAGCCACCCCCTCCCTCCCTCTGGCCTTCCTCCTTCCTTCAGGGCTCCCTCTCTCCCCCTGGGCTCCCTCCTCTCCCTCAGGGCTTCCTCCCTCTCTCCTCTCCTTCAGGGCTCCCTCCTCTCCCTCAGGGTTTCCTCCCTCTCTCCTCTCCTTCAGGGCTCCCTCCTCTCCCTCAGGGCTTCCTCCCTCTCTCCTCTCCTTCAGGGCTCCCTCCTCTCCCTCAGGGTTTCCTCCCTCTCTCCTCTCCTTCAGGGCTCCCTCCTCTCCCTCAGGGCTTCCTCCCTCTCTCCTCTCCTTCAGGGCTCCCTCCTCTCCCTCAGGGCTTCCTCCCTCTCTCCTCTCCTTCAGGGCTCCCTCCTCTCCTTCAGGGCTTCCTCCCTCCCTCCGGGCTTCCTCCCTCCTCTTCCTCTCTCCCTCCTCTCCTTCCCTCCCTCCCTTCTCTCCCTCAAAGCTACCTCCCTCTCTCCACTCCTTCAGGCCTCCCTCCCTCCTCTTCCTCTCTCCCTCCTTCCTCTCCCTCTGGGCTCCCTCCCTCCTTCCCTCCTCTCCCTCAAGGCTATCTCCCTGTCTCCCCTCCTTCAGGCCTCTCCCTCAGCCCTCCCTCTCTCCTCTCCCTCAGGGCTTGCTCGCTTCCTTCCTTCCTCCTCCCCGCTTCCCTCCATCCCTCCCTCCCTCCTCTCCCTCAAGGCTACCTCCCTCTCTCCCTCCGTCCTCTCCCTCAGGCCTGCCCCCCTCTCTCCTCTCCCTCAGGGCTCCCGCCTCTCCCTCAGGGCTTCCTTCTTCTCTCCCTCCCTCCTCTCCCTCCGGGCTCCCTCACCGTCCCTCGCAGTCCCCCCGCTCGCTCGCTCGCTCCCTCGCCCTCCCTCCCGCCGCCGCGCTCCGCCTGCGGTTGCCGCAGTGGGCCGGCCCGTGCCCCGGCCCCGCCCGCCCCGCCGGCTCTGAGGGCGGGCTGGCCGGGCGGCCGCGCCATGTCGGCGCTGGAGTGGTTCGCGCACAAGCCCCTGGGCGGCGGCATCTTCTGGATCCAGGAGCGTTTCTACGAGTCGGGCAACCGGGCCAACATCTGGCTGGTGCGAGGCTCGCAGCGGGACGTGGTGATCGACGCCGGGCTGGGGCTGCGCAGCCTGCCCGACTACCTGCGGGCCGCCGGGCTGCTGTCGCCGGCGGAGGGGGCCGGCCCGCGGCCGCTGCTCGCCGTCGCCACCCACGTCCATTTCGACCACTCGGGCGGGCTGCGGCACTTCGAGGAGGTGGCGGTGCACAGCGCCGAGGCGCCGGCCCTGCTGCGGGGGGACAACTACGAGGCCGTCACCTGGCTGTGGGAGCGGGAGGTGGCGCGGCCGCCGCGGCCCGGCTGGCGGGCCCGCCATTTCCGCGTCCAGCCCGTGCGGCCCAGCCGCCTGCTGCAGGAGGGTGAGGGCGCCGGGCCGGGCTTCTCCCCCTCGGTTACTCTCCGCGTGGCTGCCTGGAGCCGCAGTAACTTGAAATATATAGATATTAATGATTTCCCATCCCTGGGTTGCGGAGTGGCCTCGTCCTTGCCTCGCGCACGGCGCTCACGGCGGTATTTTTGTCGCTTACAGTTCACTCTCTGCAGACCGCTTTGCAGAACCCGCGGGCGTGGGGCAGGAAAGATACGCAGTGTGTTAAATTCTTGTTTCAGCCTGTTTCTGAAATTACTGTCGGGAACTGAGAAGCAGGAGTAATAAAATACCCTGGGCTTGCCTGATCTGCTCGCCTGCTGCTGCAGGATTTGTTTTCCTTAGAACGGCTCAACAGTAGTTTGAGTGATTGACTAATTGAGCACCCTGGGTTTAGCCTTAGGCTTTAACGGTGTGTCACCATGTCAGTTCTGGCATCTGGTGACCCAGGTTATTTATAAAGTGTCAAGGCATACCAGTGTAAAGAACAAAGCAACTCATTGAAATAGGTGCTGCGAAGAATATGGATTTTGTTTTTACAGAATTTACCTAAACGTAACATTTACAGAAATTGGCTTGTTACAGGTAAAAATCCACTTAGTCTCTCACAGGTATAATGACTAGGTTATTTTGGCAACAACCAGCCTAACTGTACAATATGGTGAAGCAAAAGTTGAAGGGTAGCTGTGTGACAGGTGACACCTTGTGCAGGGGACTCAGTCTCAAATTGAGTGTTTCAGGCCATGCCACATGGGTGCTTGGAAAAGCAGAACTGAACTCACTGAACGCTTCAGAGAAGATCTAATGTGGCATTTAGCTATAAGCAATCAACAAAAGTTGTTTCTCATTTTTCTTTAAAAGGGAGGAAATAATGAAAAAACAATTTTGTAAAGGAAAAAGCACACTGGCTGTCAAGGTAGCAGAGTTTCTAAGATCCACTGAGACGTGCTGTGTGGAAGTGGCGTGTCACCTCATTGCATATGTGGTTGCTGTGGGGTGAGGATATCCAGTAATGCTGAAAATACAGAATGTGGCGGGGCAATATTCTGTTATAATCCAAAGCTGTGGCTTTTACTTATACATTGCTGGTTTCATTTATTTAGATTTGCATTACCTTAATCTTACCACATCTTTCAAGCACGCTTCATTTTGAATGTTCTAGCTAAAATCGCATTTACTTGCATTGTGCCTTACCATTTAGTGTTTTTCTAGTCAGTTGTAAGACTCACAGTTTCCTTCTGCTGTCCCCTCATTTTCAGAATGTAAGAGTTTTTCTCAAATTCTGCATGCTGCTTTAAACGTTGGATGCCATATTCTGTTTCTTTGTACTGTTTTCAGTGCCAGGAACAGTTTGAAACCTACTGCAACACTTTCCTCCATTAACGTGACCTCCTCCACTATGGTTTCATTCGCCAGCATAGTCGTTTTTTGCACAGTCTTCTCAACAGTCAAGTCTATTTCTTCTGCCAAGGCTTCCCAGTGTTTCCTTGAAAGAGAATTTGGCCAAAAGTTCTCTTTAATAATTTTGAAGCCAGCTGCTTCTGCAAACGTAGAGATCTGTTACCCTGTTGGGTACAGTACAGTCAGACATTAGCTCTTTGGTGACTTCCAAACACAGGTCAAGCATTTTCAATAATCCTTTTCAGTTAGATACCAGAGGTCCTGTCACAAAAGGTCTGTCTTTCAAGAGTTAAGTACCTTTACACTTGCTGAGTCTTGAGTGCATTTGTGGTGTGCCAATCTGGTGTGAGACAGATCTGTAACTTTCAGATTGCTAATACAGTGGAGGTTTGGTAATTTGTTCTCCTTGGAACTTGAAATGCCTATGAAAGTTTTAGAGCATTGTTTTACAATGGTACTAGATGTTATTTCTTTTAGATTTGTTTCATATAGTTAAGCAGCTGCTTCAGAGAAAGTTGCTTATGTGTTGGTCTCCTTTCCCCACACAGCCGTAAAGTTTACGTATTTCCCACCTGTAAATGGGTTTTGCACATTTATAATTAAGCTGGTGTTACAACTTAAGTTACTTGGCCTGTTCTCCTTCCCTAGACTGCTTTCTGCTGGAAGTGGCTATTACGATGAAAAGGCATTCAAGTTTAAGCTGGCAAAAAAATTGCATAAAGTTGAGAAAGTTTTTTTTATCTGGTTGAATGAGAATGAAGAATGGATGACAAAAGTGTGTGGAGGCCAGTCTTGGTTCTTCTCCAGCAATTTATGTTTTGTACTTTTGCCTTTCAAAAGTAACAGCAGTGAAATTATAGGCAAATTAAGTGAGGGTAAAATGGTAATAAATTGTGAAATACTCTGTAAACTTTAAAAGGAGACCCTGCTTAGATGTGTTCTGTTAGTTTCCTGTTTTATTTTCTCTTTCACACTTCTTTTCACATTGTTTAGTTTATTAGGGTGGGAATAGGTCCAATTAATACAGCCCAAGCCCACGTTAACTGTCATTGGAAAATACCCTTTTGCCAAGTGTAGCTTTCAGATCCCTCTCCCTTTTTGGGGGATATATAGTATATATAAACTCTCAGCGTATGGGTAGGTCTTACTCTTTGTGGTGCTTAATATATGTGATAAATGCTTATGTTTTCATGTAACATATTTGTTTGCAGGGGATGTGATCAGCCTTGGAGACCGACAGCTTACTGTCATGCACATGCCTGGCCATTCAAGAGGCAGTATTTGCTTGCATGACAAAGAACGGAAGATTTTGTTCAGTGGAGATGTGGTGTATGATGGATCCATGATCGACTGGCTTCCTTACAGCAGAATAAGTGACTACGTTGCAAGCTGCCAGCGCCTGATGGAGTTGGTGGACAGAGGTCTTGTGGAGAAGGTACTGCCTGGGCACTTCAACATATTTGGGGCGGAAAGGCTGTATCGGCTAGCTTCCAACTACATTTCGCAAGCTGGAGTCTGTCACAAAGTTTCTACTTGTGCCATGAGATCCATTGCAAGCATAGCACTTCGCATTACAAATTCCAGAGTCAGTTCCTAGTGGCAATTCATTTTGTGTGATCTGTTCCCTGTTGAAAAACCAAATGGCTTGTGCAGGTGTTGACATAAGCAAAGGCAGTATGCATTAGTAAATAGCTGGCAAACTGATACAGATGAGCTGCAAAAATTCTCCTTATTTTTGCTTACTTTCTTCCTATTTTTATATAAAGTACATGAGCTAGTAGCTTTAGCTGAAGCTACCGTTTTTATTTCTATTTTTTCAGGGCATGTTTGCACACTTACTGTGATTGAAATACATTGTTTTATTTTTGTTATGATTCTGACAGATGCATATATGCCAAAACGGGAGGTTTTATGTTCATGCCTGACACCTTGTTGATGTAGCGCTAGGCTTGTGACTGTTCACTCAACTCCTGCCCAGGTTCTGTCCTAGCACAGCTCGTGCTAAGACCTGGTGTGTGCTGGGAGCAGCACCGTTAGGCCAGAGCAAGAGCAATGCCTGTGCAGGACTCTGGGCAGAAGGAGAGAAGGGCCATTCTGCAGCCACTGACTCCTGCCGCTTGGTGTCTGCGGCACACTTTGCCTGCATCGTTGCGAAGCAGCTTTCTGGCAGTTTCTTTGGAATCCACTAACATACAGAAATGCTGTGGACCAAACTTCCAACCTGGAAGGTACAGCTATATCAGCTTATCCAAAAAGCTTTTGGTGCAGATCCAACAGCAGACAGACTGTTGAGGCGCTCATGCTTCCCGATGTGGTGCAGGGAACGCCTGTACCATGGCAGAGGGGCAAGAGTGAGCACTCCCATCGTCGGCTAGGGAGCTGTTCTGCTCGTAGGCATGCGAGTTGGGAATTAGAGAATTTGTGAACTAAAGAATGAACATGTTAGACTAGCCTGGATTAAGTAGATTGAGCCCTTGCTTGGTGTGTTTGGTTTTTTTTTTTTTCTGATGAGCTTATTAAAAAACCCCATTATCTAGAGAGTACATTGTTCTGTAAATTTGAGAGAAATGGACTGTGACAAGCTTGGAGGTTTTATTTGTGTTTAAGAGTATTTTTATGTGGCTGGATTGTAACTCGGCTTTGTGGTAAGGGAAGGGTGGAAGCTTTAACATCATCTTGCCCTACTTCAGCTTCTGGATTAAACAGCTGGTACACTTGTTATCACAAAGTGAATGTAACTCAAACTGTTTACTGTTCGCTTATTAAGTGTATAGTGCCTGTGGTTTTTATGAAAAGGCGCGCTGTATTTGAGTCTGTTCCAAAAAAAGTTGAATACGTTGAGAAATGCTAAATGACACTGTAACATGCTTATGAAAATTGAATGTGTGCTATTTAAAATTCATTGAAATGGTTATAGTTTGTGTAATTATTCTAAGAGCCTATATATCTTTTAACTTTTTTAAAAGGACACTGTCTGATATTATTTTTGTATATAGACTTATGTACTTTCCTAAAAAGACTGAAAATGTTTTTCCCAAACTTTAGTGCAGTTTAACCATATTTGTTTGGCTTTCACTTTATGGGGAAGCTTCCCCCCTCCCTGCCCCCTTCTCATCATTCGCAACAGAGAGAGAGCCCAAACTTTTCTCCTTTCACAGACCACTGCACTCCTCCTTTTACTATGTGAATATATTCTTCACCAGGATTTGTACTGATAGGTTGTGATGTGCCTAATTCTTGCTATCAGTGCCTGTCTCCAAGCTGAAGCAAAATTGTGAGTGGGCAGGACAGGCACAGCAGTGCAGTACTTGAAAGACCTGTTATCACTCAGATCATGGTCTCTTTTTTGGAGAAATCCAAGTACATCAGTGTATTACATGCGGAGTGTCTAATCAGTGGGTAGACTTCAGTCATAAATGAAGCCAAGATCTTGGCCTCATTTAGCCAGAGGAGGAAATACAGAAGGTTAGCCTAGGAAGCAAAAAAAATTCAGTGAAGAGTCCCAGAACAAACTCCACAGTGTGGTTTTCCTTCTTAGCCTGCTGATGCATGCTGCTATTTATGTAGCAGCCCAGACACTGTTCTTGATAGCCGAGGGTTCACAATGGGAAATCACAGATCTGAGATGGCAAGCAGGAAGGTCAGAATGACTAAAGAAATACATAGCACTGAAGGTTACACCAGTTACACAGATGAAGCTGTGGTGTTACAGGTTACCCAGCAGTAATTGAATTCCTTCAAATTAGCCATCTCTGGTATAATACCAGTAGTAATCTTGCTCTGTGCTTTTGTGAAGGCTGTAGGAGCACTGGTGGTAACCCTGTGCAATAATGTGCACAGAGAGACCTCTTCTGACAGCCTGACAGTTTGTATGCCTGCTGCTAAAATTTTGCAAATGTATTAGGAGAGTGACATCATGTTGAATTAGTCTTTTGTGTTAGACCACTATTGGTTGGTTGATTTGGTCCAATATTAGAAGCCCTGGAGCCAGATTTTACTGCGCTGTAAAACCTGAGCTCCTAAAACAAGGCCTACAGGCATGCTGATTCAAAAGCAAAGATAGCCTTCATCATTTGTGTTTAAATCTGTGCTTAGTATCAGCTATGAGATCCTTAAATGTCCAGGTCACTGTCAAAATGCCCTATTAAGGCATGCTAAAGTCCATTAAGTATATGTAGATAAGAGCAATTGCCTGGATTTTTTTCCTTGACCAAGATTTAGGGAATAATTTCCTAGCTCAGAAGTGAGCTTTATGTGAACATAGCCCCAAATGGGGCATGTTAGTAAACTGCTGCTATAATCCATTTGAAAGTAGTTTTTGAGGCTCTTTAAATTATTTTTGTACTATAACAAATTCACTACTAAGGTAAATGATAAATCTTAAGTATAAAGAACTGGCTCTGACTATTTTTGTTAAGAATTACCAAGTTTTAGCCATAACAGTTTGACAGTGTCCCTTTAACACTACTTGGATTAAACATTTAAAACATACTTTGTAAGTTTAAATATTGCAGCATCTTGGGCATTTAGAACTGTGTTGATTTATTTGTAAAATCTAAATGTATGTTAATGCAGTTTCCAGTAGACTGAGGAATTGACAAATCAGATGGGAAGTTTTGCTCTGTAATCTGTTAAGACTTCTGTGATGTTAAGCAACAGTTTACATGTAAAAAAGTAAGTTTATTGTAGATAATCATAATAAAAAGTTATAATCCTATGCGGTCCCATTGTCATTTCTAGGTATTTTAAAAAAAGCACTTTTACATTCCAGATGGAGTGTAAAATCTGTAGAAGTTGCTAGCAGTGTTTTATGCTTCTGGGACTGCAGTAGAAACACTTATCTATCATAGACAGATGCTGAAAAGCTTGCATAAAACCTGTGCTGGGTTTCTGTGGTGCAGTTTTTGGTAGCAGGGGAGGGGGCTACAGCCGTGGCCCCTGTGAGAAGCTTCGCAAAGCTCCCCTGGCTCCAAATCAGACCCAGCTCTGGCCAGGGCCGAGCCCATCAGTGACAGTGGCTGCACCTCTGTGATAACGTATTTAAGAAGAGGAACCTGGGAGGGGGTGGGGACTTGTGAGGAGGAGTTGAGAGGATGATGAACACCCAGGTCACTGGAAGGAAGGAGGAGGAAGGGTGGAGGTGCACCAGAGCAGAGCCCCCCTGCATCCCATGGGGAGACAGCAGGACCACCTCCCTGCCACCCCTGGAAGTCACCAGTGGAGCAGAGGCCGACCTGAAGCCTCTGGAGGAGCCCACACCAGGGCAGGCAGATGCACCCAAAGGAGGCCGGGACTCTGAGGGGAGAAGTAGCCCCCCCTGTTGTGGTTCAGCGCTGGGAGGACTGGAACATGCAAGGGTGAGCCATGCCGGATCAGCACGGGAATGGCTGCATCCTGTGGGGAGGACTCGCTGCGGAGAAGGTTCACAGAGGACTGTCTGCAGTGAGAGGGCAGCCACATGGAGCAGGGGAAGAGTGCGAGGACTTTCCCTGGAGGAGGAAGGAGCAGCTGAAACAACATGTGATGAACTGATTGCAACCCCCATTCCCTGCCCTCTGCACTGCTGGGGGGAGGAGGGAGAGAAATCAAAAGCAAAGCTGAGCCAGGGAAGAAAGGAAGGGTGGAGGGAAGGTGTTTCCAAGATGTGGTAATGCTTTGTCCTACTCTGTCTTTTAAGTGGTGGTGGTGGTGGTGGTGTTTGAATTAAAAGTGATGTTCATCCCCTGAGGAGTCTGTCTTTTGCCCCTGACCATGATTGTAATGGGTGAGTCATTCCTCCCTGTCCTTATCTCAACTCCTGAGCCTTTTGTTTTATTTTCTTCTTCCCATTACTGAGGGGAAAGGGGTGAGCAAGTGGCTGCATGGTGCTTAGTTGCCCTCTGGGCTCAAACCAGGATGAACCATGAGTGGGTACTTGGAAAAAAACCACCGCATTTTAACACAAATCAGAATTACATTTTCAATAGAATTTGCACACAGAAAACATGAATGTGATGAAAGTATATATTTGGGAACCAATTGCAGTGTGTGGTGAGGTAGATTATTATTTCCATAGAAGAGGGTAGCTAACGACAGTTGTTTACTGTACTTGATTCAAAAATGGCCACATAGCTTTTGTTCAGCACTGGAGATTAAAATAATGCCTAGCATTGATGTTTAATTTCTGATAAAACGTAAGACTCCTTATTAACTGATAAACTGTAGACATTTTGTGGAAATTAGTCCATGAATAACAAAAGCAGCTGCTCTCATGAAAACCAGCAGAAAAGAAATGTGCCCTTATAAAGCCAAGAATAAATGAAGAAGGTGAAATGCACCTGTTAATTTAAAGATGAAGATATGCTTCCTTCCAGACAACGGATATCTGGACTTTAGGGATGCCTGGTTGTTCAGTTAATATGATGCATTCCTCCCAGGAGTTCCAGTGTCAAGGTGCAGTCTTCAAGTCAATCTGTCTGCGTATTGGCACAAGTACAATCTTATTTTCAAAACTAGTTTATCTTGTTAAATGTTGAATTTTACAAGGTGATGAGGACGGAATCTGGAGGCAAATATAGGTAGAAATAAGATTATTTTATGAGGGAAATAGGGCAATTAAATGAAAATAATTAGAAAATGCTACAATATTGGTTTTATCTAAGGACTAAAATAAGAAGATTGGGAGCAGCCAGCTGGGAGGCTCCAATTCTCAGATTATGTTATTGGGGTCCTGACCCAGCCCTGTTCCTCTGTCCTTTTTAGTGATGTCTTTTATCATACAACCTAACAACCAGGACTATCCCAGTTGGTCAGGCATCATCATTTCAAAGTGCCGTATAACCGTGTATAGGTGATTCCCCATCACACATCCAGGAACGAGGTAACTTCTAGTGGAAGCAAGACACCTCAGATCTGAGTTTATAAAACGGGCCAACCCTCAGCTTGCATTCTAATAAAGGATGTGCAAAGCCTTCCTCTGTCATCTGGGGTCAGTAATAACTTCGAAGGCACATCAAGAGTCAGCGGTGCTGGGTCACCACAGCGCAGGACAAAATGATTTCAGTGCCCCAGTGACAAGCACTTCACCTCCTGTCTTGGAGCACTAGGAACCCAAGGTGTAAGCAAAACCCATCACTGCCACTACTGCTTTCTCAGTAAATGGGTTTGTCAACAAGTTGAAGGTTGTTGCACGTACTGTGAAAATCGTGTTTGACATCAGATGTGAGAAGTCAAATTGTCCTAGCACAAGAATGAATATTTTTCATCGGCATTTAGCAGATAAAGGGACAGGTTTGTTTTGCAGATGAGAAATTGAATTCTTTATTACACTTCTTTGCAGACAAGTATAAAATAGAGGGCTGAGGATGACCATCTTGAGGTCACCTAGCACCACCTTCATGCAGAGAAGCAGAATGCTTGCTTAAAACTAAAGGTTCCAAGGTCTGCCTGTCCCCAGTTTTTCCTGCTTTTCTCCACTTTTTCACCTTCTGGCACCTCAACTGCCTGTTGTTTATGGCCTGTTACCAAGGTTTTCCCTTCTCCTACAGCCTCTCCTGCTTCCTGACATACCCAGGCTTCTGTCTATGTCTCCCCGTCAGCTTCCTCACCTTTTTCCCCCTCTTCCTCACTCTGAGAAATGGCTTATTTTTCTTCACAATATCTGAAATCCACCACATGTGGAGCACTAGGACGAGAGCACAAGATAATAAACCCATCAGAGAAAGGGCAGCCCTGTGGTTCACCTTCGGCCATAAAGAACATTCCACAATGCCTTATTGACCAACCTAGAATTTTCTTCATATTCATTCCAAGTTATTATTTTCTACAAATTAAGCTGTTATTCTTGGATGCCGTGTCCATATAACATCTTTTTACACAGCAGAAAACTGTTACCAGTCAGCTACCATAAGCTTAAAAACATGACATACAGTGAAAGATTTAATTCCTTTGTTTTTCCTTCCAGATCCTTCCAGTTTCTTTATTCCTGTCTTAAACTATTCTCTGCAAAAGTGTATGCCACTCAAGCTTCGCCAGCAGAATAGAACAGGTTCATCCTGACATGCTTGCATCTTTCCTAATACATCATGTTGCCGATTCATATTTCAGGTCTCTTGCAATCTCCAAGTTCTGTTCTGTGATAGTATTTTTATCCAGTTACTTCCCACCTTGCTATCTCTACACCGGAGTTTTTTCCTGTGAAATAAAGTACTGTCAAGTTGCTTTTACTTCGTTTCATGTCATGGATTCCAGACCACCTTGTCAATTTGTCAATATGCTTTTGAGTTCTGATCCTGTCTTCCATCATGCTTGTCACTCCTCCAGCCTCTGTGTAGAGGGCATGCACAGCCATCCTTCTTACAGTGTACCAGGTGGAGGAGGAAGCTGCAGAGTTTGAGGACTTTAGTCACAGAGAATTTCTTTGCATAAATAAGAATAGCCTTCAGGCTACCTCATGCCTTTCTTTTGCTATGCCTTCATCTCAGATTCAGCCCATGCTCACATAGAAAGGATTTCTTTACACCAATCAGGTTTTTTTGTTCATTCTCTGGCACTTTGAACCTAAGTTTTAAAATGTAAAATTCTATTTTTCATACTGCTGTGCATGTAATCTGATTCGAGTTTCTTACTGGCTACATACAATTTTTATTTACAGCAACGGTGACTGTGTTGCATTATTTTTGTTATATTGAACTACACCTTGTATTTCACAATAGATGCTATGTTGTGAGGTAGCTATCTCAGATGAGTAAGGGGTCTTTATAAACATTTCCTAATACATGGAAATGCAACAGTCATTTTAATTACTTCAGTACTACAGCATCCCATTTTATTTTTACATCTGTGAACATCTCTATTTGCCATCATGTCACTATGAAAGAAACACGGGATGTTTCTGCTAAAAAGAACATTCTTAGGGCCAGGAGGGAAAAAAAAAAAAAAAAAAAGCATCCTTACTGTTAAATCCCAGACGGTAGGATGCTCTGTATCAGAGCTCAGAATGAGCTTTAGAATAAGTTCCGTTAAAGCCTAATGTAACACCTTGCCTTTTAAGAGCAGGCACTGGTAGCCAAAGAGGAAAAAAAAAAAAAAAAAAAAAAAAAAGGAGATCTGTTGGGAAAAGGGAGGGAGATAAGGGCAGAAAAACATATGGCAAACGAGGAATTACAAGTATTTAACTTAAAGTTAAATTAAAGTTTAATTTAAATTAAAGTGTAGGTCTAAGAATTTATCTGACACTGTTGTTAGTTATAATTAATGCATGTATTACCGAAATCATTAAGCAGTACCTCTTGTGTCTAAAACTAATTCTTCTTCAGTCCCCTCACTTCCAAACTGAATTGGGAAGCACAGAAAGAGATACAACTGAAAAGCAATCAGAAAACACATTAAGTTTTATTTTAAATTTATTATTTGAAGCTAAATATGCATATATGCTGGTAAAAACATGTTAGATTATACATATACTGGACAGACTGGTGCAGCACGGGACTATCTAGGCTAGTCAGCAGTCGACTCCTCTGAGGTGCATAATTAGCCCAGACAACTCTGCTGTGATGTTACATCACTTTACTGCTCACTTACACATTGACACCGCGTTGTTTTGGGTAGTGTAATCACACCTCAGTCAGTTAACGCTTCTGCCGAGTACGTACAGGCGGAATATCCCTTCTCGTCTCCCCTCCTAATTTCCTACGAAAAGACAGTAAGAGCCGACCCTAGCTGCCTGCCCGGGGGCGGTGTGCCGGGGCGGTAAAAACCGGAGCACCAGCAGCAACACCAGCAGACGAATTGCCCACTGGTGGCTGAGCGGCACAAGTACAGGCAGGAGCTGCTGCTCTGCCTCGCTGTGCTGAGAGGAGGAACACGTCACCAGCTGCCATCAGAGACTACATCTCTCTGCACATGCACACACACAAGCGTCTAAATTTACCATGAAAGTAAAAAAATAGGCTCCATTGCATAACTGTAAAGTAGAAACAGTGTTATAAACCTGCTCTTCACCCTCACTGTGCCATCCAAAACTATTTTCAGCACATAGTTCCTCTAAATTCAGCTTTTATTGGACAGACTAATCTCACCAGTTTAATAACCGACTTTGTGTTCCCATATGTGCCCAACAGTGTCCTGGGAAGGCATTCAAAAGCAATAAAAATTGGGGAGCACAGGAAAAACAAACAAATGATCGCCCACACTAGGGAAACGTCCTTGGCCAGCACCTCTGCAACTGTATCAGATCTACAGAGGAAGGTATTTCTCAGAAATTTGATCCAGAGGTACAGCAGTACATTTCCAACCATCAAACTGGCAAGGACACATGATGTGTTTTTAATACGGCTTTACATTTTCACAGTTATTTTGTGCTGTATGATTTGCCGTAAAAGTAACATGAACAAACAACACTTGAACTTGCATAAAGTTTGCCCAAGCAGAACTACTCCTTTGACAATTTTTGGATTAACTTTATTGGCAAAGCAGCTTGTTGCTTTACATCACAAGGTTTTGATACTTGATCTTATTTTGAACAGCTCCAGTACCAACAAGCAGAGGGGTTGTGGGTGGGGGTCCCAGGTGAGACAGGGCAATTTGGGGCTGTTGGCACACTTAGGACCCTGACACTACCTCCCCTACACTCCAGATGAGCATTCTCACCAGTTAATGCCTTCTTTTTCTCTCTGGTCATGTAAATATGTTGTATGAAGCACACACACACACAAAAAATAATCTGTGGGTATATTTGCTTGTTTGTTTACTAGACAGTACTCTACCTTGTAAACAGCATGGAGTGACTGCAGAGCTACCAGCATGGAGTCCCAACACCCATATTCAGGACTTGTACCCAACTTCCTGCTTTGAACTGGGGAAAAAGAGATTTGAAAGCTCAGATGAATGCACCTAATTGCAGACACATTCAAACAGTAAGGAGCAAAATGAAAAACCTCCAATCAAAAAAATCTCACTACAAGCACAGGTTGAGGATCAAACCTGCCAGTAATCTATGCTTTTAGTTACAAAGCTACCTTTTGTTAACAGAGGTCAATTACAAACTTCTGACTGTGCCTCTGCCTATGCGATCTGTGGCCCAGAGATACTATGAACAGCCAGCCAAACATGCCTCATCTCTGCTTCACTTTGTTCAGGAAAAATGTGTATTGAGCACATCTACCAAATCCAGCTCTTCACATCAACAGTACGTACTTGGGGTCAATCTGCTACTGGTTCATTACTGGAAGCCTACGTGTCTGCAGATGTAAAACACCTTCAAGACATGCTATCAGTCCTGAAGAGAGCAGGACTGAAATACCTGAAGGCATTTTTGACTGGAGTCTTTTCAGTGAATCTAGCTAGACTACTTAGCACTGTATTAGGAAAGATTTGAACATCCATATGGTCCAGCAAGTAATACTGGACTATGCTGTTTCAGCAGTGGTTATAAACAGCCCTGTCTGCTCAGGGCATCCTGAATGGCAAGGCCCAAGGAGCCTCTAGAGTGTCTCCGACCAGAGCACCCAGGCAGTGCTTTTTCCAGGTTTTCTTATCAGCGAGAAGAGCATTTCCTCCACCCACAGAATACGTATTATGGGCTCATTCACTGGTTTGAAGAGCATGGATGTGTTAATAGCAATAAGAACTGTAACTATGTATTAAGGTCTTCAGTCTTCCAGTAATATAGACTACTTCACCCCGAAATTTGTAGGGAGTCAGTACAGTATCAGAAAGGCTTGTGATAATGTTCCCATGAACTCTGAATATTACGTGTTGCAACGACGTGGTTCTAAACCGCATCTCCCCTCACCTTCCCGAGCTCTGACGCAGAGCTCCCAAACCCCACCCCGAAGGTGCACTGCGAGCAGCAGTTCTCAGCCGACGGGGAACCACGCCACTTCTCCAAAACCCCGGCAACAACCAAAGGGCGCCCACAGCTGCCACCGCGCAACACGGCGGCCGCGGCCCAGCTCCGGCAGCGCCGCCTCACCCCGCTCCCCACACAACCACGCTCACGATGGCGCCGCCCAGAGCTTGGAAGCGAGGGGAGGCTCTGCCAAACTCCAGCAGACCCACGGCAGTAAGGAGCGAGGGGGAAGCGGCGCACCCGCCCCGCAGAGCCCGAAGCCGGGGCGGCAGCCGCCATTTCCCTCAGGCACCAACCTCCGCCCCCGCCGCGTTTTGGGGGAAACGACACAAGGGAAACGCCCCCTCCCTCTTGAGTGATTACCCCTTCGCCCAATAAGCGAGCGCGCCGCGCTCGGAGGCGGGGAGCTTCCCTCGCCCAGCGCCCAATCAGGAGGCGGGGCGGGTGCGCGCCGGTGGGTGCCGGCGTCGCACCGCGTTTCCAAGGGGAAGGGAGGGCGGCGGGGCCGTGAGGAGGGGCGGCTCGGCCCGGCTCGGCCCGGCCCGGCAGCGCTATGAGTCTGGCCTTGAGGTCGGTATGAGCCGGGCGGTTTCTCCCCGCATACCACCACCACCACCACCACCTCGCTCCCTTTGGGCCCGCGGAGCGCGGGCGGCGGGGGTGGGGGGTGGGGGGGTGTTGCTGTGTGTGGGCCGCCATCCCGGAGCCTTCAGGGCCTCGCTGGCCGCCCTGAGAGGGGAATGGCGGGGGGAGATCTCGTCGGGGAGCGGGGTGAGGCGGGCAGCGGCTAGTGTGTGCCGGCGAAGGTCGTCCGCTGCCTCCAGCCGCTTATGTCTGATCCCTTCGGACGGGGGTCGTGGGCGGCTGGGGCGGATCAGGCCCGGCAGCCGTCTGCTCGCCGGGGGAGGGCACGGCCCGGCTGTGAGAGGTTCGCTTCTGGGTTGTCTGCAGTAATGCATCTTCAAAAAGCCTTTTAACAGGCGTTAAGTTAGGTTGTTGAGTTCCGGTGTTTGTTTTTTTGTTTGTTCGTCTGCTTGCTTGTTCAATTCTGGTTCAGTAACTGTTTCATAAAGGGGCCTGGCTTACAAATTCCATACCTGGCAAGTCCTTGTTTTCAGGAGTAATTAATATGCTTATATGGCATACACGATCCTTTGTTTTCAAGTCTGAGAACTTAATGCTTCAAGTGGTGAAAGTGGTTGCAGAAGGTGGCATTAAACTACTTACATTTAAGTACTGCTCTTTTGAAAACATTATTTTATGCAAAGCACTAAATAAGCACTGGAGTAGCCAGATCCTTCCTCCAGAAGAGTTCAGCATTAATCTGCTTTCAGACTTCTAAGTGGATTTCATCATCACAGCTCACAGAATATGTGCTCTCTGGATCTGAGATACTCTCACAGTCCTAATTATGTAGCCCACTCACAGCCATTTTAGTCCTTCCAGAAGCTATAGTAATCCAAAGCCAGTGTGAAATAATGCTGTCCCAATTGGTCTGCTAAGGACTTCTCATTCTTTGACAATACTGTGGTCAGAGGCAGGTCCAGCTTGTGCAGCCTGCTCTTTTCTTGTCTATATTTGGAACTTTTACTGGTGTAGCTTCAGTGGTTGTTGAAAGCTAAATATCAGCTGTGTGTTTAATCTTAGGTTTTAATTAAAGTTAGCAAATTCTGAACAGAGAAGAAAAAGCGGCTCATTACAGGAGATTTGGAAGATAAATATCCTTGAAAAACAGTTTTCATTCATCAGTAATTTTTGTGCATTTTACAGTAGGTGACACACCACGCATTTTGTCTCTGGAGCAAAAAACCACATAAGTGTAAAAAGCATTTTCCTGAGAGGAGAAAGTTGGAAAGGACTTCTGGAAGTTATCTAGGCTGCTCAGAGCGGGTCCCACTCAAAACTGAATGAGGTTGCTGAGCGCCTTTTCCAGTTGGCTTCCGAAATTTTCTGATGACAGAGGCACTTCAGTCTCCCAGTGCAACTGTTCCAGCGCATAAACACACAGTAGAAATGTTTCTCTTTAGATCCAGCTGCATTTTTTCCTCTTCTGTTTTGTAGTTGTTTTTTCTTGTCCTTTAACTGTGCTCGTCTGAGGGGAACCTGTCACTGTCTTCTGTGTAATAACCCTCTGGATCGTGAAGGACAGCACTTGGATCCCCTCTCCCTACCCCTCCCCTGCCTATTCCCTCTGCCCCACTCACCCTGGTCCAACCAAACCCATCTCCTTTGGCTTCTCATGCACTGTGTGCTGCAGCAACTAGGAACGGTAGTGTGCCTTAGGCTTTATCCACTTTCTGTACTTCTATCTGATGTGGCCTCATGGTCACAGAATGGAGGGGATTTACCACTGCAATTAGCCACGCTCATGACAGTGACAGTATGCTGCTCCTGCATGCCTGCTTCTTCCAGGAATGTACCTTGAGTACTGTAAGAATCTTAGTTGATATCAGCTGTTATCTCAAATGTACTTTTTTTTTTTTAGAGTTCTTGCTCTGAAATGGACATTTTCCAAGCAATTACTCTCGATACAGCAGTCAGTCTTACTGATGTGAATAAAGAACAGTTACAGCAAAATTTACCCTCTGCTATCCTGGTCCAAAGTGCCTTTTATCAGTGCCATCCTCTTCAGCTTTTTCAGTTCTTGTTCCCAGTATACGAATCATTTGTTTTCTGTCTGTTATCTGAAAATTTAATCTTATTTCTGGAAAAGAGAGCTGTCTTTGGGCAAGACTTGCTCATTTTGGGGACTTACGTATATACTGAAACAGAGCAAAAAGTCTTTTGAACAGTATGTATGTGTGTGATTTAAAGAATTTTAAGAAATCTGTAAATGCCGTTTGTTTTAAGAGCTGTTATTGGCAACAAAGCCGATTTGTGGCACCTAATGCCCACTTTAGTAACCAGACAACCCAGTTGTCTCTTCTGGTTAAGCCTCCAGCAGCCTGTCTGTCTCAAAATTATTTCCTCTAAGCTACAGTTAGAAATAAAGCATTTTCAGGAGTTGTATCATTTCAACTGCTAATCTAGTTTGTAACCTCAAGTATTCTTTTTAACTGGTAGTTTTTCTACCCTGTTTTTTTTGTTGTTATTTATTAACCAAAACATCTGTGCTGGTTTTATTTTGGGTGGGGAAGTGGAGGTGTCATTCAGCTTTCACAAAAGAATTATCTATTTCATGTGTTATTTTAAACTGGGAGGACAAGCTGGGAAAAGACTGAATAGAGAAGGTAGTGATCTGTGCAATTATGGTGAGGTTGTTGTTGTAAGATGTTATCTACAGTGGTATTTTCCCAGAAGAAATCAATTGCGCTTAATTTCTTCCTTATATAGGAATGAGCTTTCAGTAGACAAAACTAAAAAGAAGAAAAGAAGAGAACTGACTGAGGAACAGAAGCAAGAAATTAAAGATGCCTTTGAGTTGTTTGATACAGACAAAGATAGAGCAATAAATTATCATGAATTAAAGGTAAAGGTTTTTTTTTTCATTTAATCAATTTTATGGCAGACAATATGTATCCGTTTCTTAGTGAGTTTTTAAGATGTTGACTGTATCTTTAAAAAAAATGCTCCATGTTCAAGATTTCTTGCTGGGCTGAAGGAGTGAGGATTTTCGGGGGAGCAGGGGGCGGAAAAAAGGAAGTACTGCATTGATGTAAGAATGAGCTTTTCTTCCCACACTATACTTGACACAAACAGAATAGCTGTAGCATCCTAGGTAACGCTGGTCTGAATGATCCCCAGGGTTTAACTTGGACAGATGACTAAGTGAGAAAAACTCTTGAAAAACTGCTTCGTTCTTTTTAAAGACACTGTATAATCTGAAGCTTGGTGTTGTGAAAATCTACAGGTTTCAGGTGCGTAGGTGAAAGATGTAAATCAGATTTGTAGAGCTGTTGACTACAAGCCAGAGCTTACCCACTTGCATTTTTCAACAGGGAGCCTGTGGGTTGTAGAAATGAGGTACGCTGTTTGCTGTGTGTGGGAGGGACTCAGTAGTTGCCCTTCTCTGTGAAGGCTTCTCCTGTTAATAGCTGTCAGCAAATAGAGGTTAGGATGGCAGTCTTTACTAGTGAGTCCTGCTGCCTGGAAGTCTCTAGATGTAGTACATGAAGTTTATTAAAGTGTCTTTGATTAAATATTTTATGAATTTTATTCTAACTATACTGCATCAAGAATAAAATACAGCTTTGGAGAGGCCAGTGTTTCTGTCAGGTATGGGGTGAGATTCTTTTGGGAAGGAATACCTAATCTAGACTTCTGGTTTCACATTCTGTCTCTACTAAGTAACTCAGGGGAAAAAAAAAAAGTCTTATTTTTACTTTAATTGATATTAGAAGGATGTCGTAGGTATAGCGATGCCCTTCTCTTTATTTCAGAGTTCAGGTATTTTTCTTTGCTGGAAGCTACAGTGAGTGAGGTAATACTGGGGAGTGTTTCAGGACTGTTAACATGCTTTTTCCACTTATGATATGCTTTGAATTCCCAGCTGGCATGATTACCTTCAAAGCTGTTTCTTAGCTGCCTAATTAAATATTGTGGCCCTGAAGATAGTACTGTGGAAGAACAGAAGTCTAATAAAGAAAAGAACTTTCTCGTTTACAAAATCAGCATATAGCATAGATTTTTGAATAGATATATCCAATAGGATTGTGGTTTTCCACTTCTGGTTTAGCGTATGTGCATCAGTTTGGAGGAAGTCAAGGTGCTGTGTGCGGAGAAATTGCCATCTCAGCTGAAATGGAAAACTACACGTGTAGTAATAGAAAAATAAAAAATAGGTTGGTTTATGTTGTTCACTGGCAAAGCAGTAAAGTCACTTGTAAGAGGACTTGTAAACCCATGAACATATACACACTTAGTATGAATACTGAAGAAGAATAATTTGAAGAATGATTTCACTTTTTTCTTTGAAAAAATGTCAGTACTTAAAATGTTTTTAGAAATGAGGAAGAGAAATCTACCTGTCCTAAGAAATATTTGATCCAGTCAGTAAAATCCTTGAAAATGCAGAGGCTAGGTTTTTCACTGTAACTTTATGTTCCATTTGCTAACAGTACTTTTAGGTGATTTTTATATCCAAACCTTTTTTCTTTTTATTAATTTTATTTATTATTGTTGCTAAACCACTGATATGTACCTTCTTTCTTGGACAAGAAGGTAATTACTGAAAATAAAAAGAAATCTGTTAAATCTGTATTTTAATCTTCATACGTGGTTGCACTTCCATTTTATTCCAAAAGGTGGCAATGAGAGCCTTGGGTTTTGATGTGAAAAAAGCTGATGTACTGAAAATACTTAAAGATTATGATCGAGAAGCGACAGGCAAGATCACCTTTGAAGATTTTAATGAAGTTGGTATGTGTTTGATTGTGTATCTTTAGAGAAATTTAGCGTATAGTAGTGACTAGAATTTGGAAGCAGTACTTTGTATATTTTTTCAGTTATTTAGTAATATTAAGAAGTAGAAGTGGGAAATCTAATTTCCTATTTTTCTTAACAAAAATCAATAGTGGAGGAAAATATATCTTTGTATTCTGAATACTCAGTTTGATATGTAAAGATGAATGACAGCCACAGTATAAAAGGAAATAAGAGTATACACAGTCCTAATCTTTTTCAAACTTACACAGAGGAATAAATGCTAACTTAAAATATAGATATTCTTGTGTTCCTTATGGATTTTCTAAGATGCTCCTTCCTGCTGTGGAAAAAGTATTTGGCATTGAATTTCATGGGAAGGAGTATATACACAGACAAACTCTAAACTGAATAGTGACTTCACATATAACAAAGATAAGAGAAATTGAAGCAGATGTTAAATATTATACTTTAAGGATTTTCAACTGTTGATAAAACCAGTGAAATTTTAATAGTCACTTTCTTTCATCTGAACACTGTGTATTGCACAGTTTGACATACTTTGAGTGTGTAGAGATTGCAGAATTTTTAAAGATAAAGTTTCTTCGAAGATTTTTTTGTTGTTACACATAATTTATACTTTGCATACCAAAAAAATAAGCTCTGTGGGATTTCTCCATGTATGGCTTTACATCTCTGTTTTATTATTCCAGTCCATGTGCTCAAGGCATTAGTTTTTTGTAACTTTTCTGAAACCCCTCCCCACTGTAGTACATGTATATTTGCTCTTGGCTACGAATAACATGGCAGAACTTTGATTGAAATATGGCAAATTTTATTTATTTAACAGGTTAGGATTGGACAAAATGTTTTGTTAATAACAGATAGTAATTTTGTAGTTGTATTCCAGGTTAGAGCAAATTACAAGTCAAAAGAGAATCAAAAATAAAGCCTATGGGGAAATATGCATGATCAGTCCTGATTTAATTAAAAAAAAAGTATTGATTTAATAGTACTACTAATAATACAATTATAATTATGTCATTATTCTATAATACATAATTTAATATACTGTAATTACTGTGTAATTCTTTTAAATTCCTGATGTTCAGTCCTGTCATTGTTCATTGTTTCCAGGTTCTGTCCTGGCTATCAATATAGGCAGTCAATAAGTGCTGTTGGAAGCCGGGAAAATTTTTTAGAAAGCACAATATATACTTAGAAGGCAACTGAACCTGTCCCAAAACTTGAATCAGAATTGAGTTGCAATATGAGGCAATATGACTGTGACACAGAATTAAACATGATACCACTTCTATCAGAAAGTTCAGGGAGTTAGAGAAAATGAAATAAAATACTGCAACTTTAATTGTGAAGAGCTGCTGAATATGAGCAAAGCAATTCTTGAGCCATCAATTTTTCATAATTTAATGTTATTTATGGTTTTAAAATGAAGGAATAGCCCATCTAGAATGTATAAACACGGAATTACATTTTGTCTCATTTTGTACAATCATGTTACCGATAGTATTTGGAGACCTAGTGTGTTACTGTTCTTCATCTAACATTGTTGTTGTCTTTTTTTCTTCAAAAGGTAATTTTTTTAAAATGATGTAATACTGTCATGCAGCATAGTTGTTTTAAGTGAAAATATTTAAATTTAGTATAAGTCTGAGAGATTTATGTAGACATATAAGCTTCATTGCTATATTGACCTTATATGAGCTTGAATCTAATTTTTTCCTGTCAAGTTCGCTAAGCCAGAGCAGGCATTCCACCTGCAGATAGCAGCACATGCTAAGTGGTCCTCTATGCACAAAACAGGGTTGATGTGTTTTTAATGGCTTGATGAAAGTCATAAATAGCAAGCCCTGTAATATAAGACTAGCAGGTATAAAGATGTGAAGATATATTACGGTTGGTTGGTCTGAAATAATTACTAGAAAATTACTTTATGTGGCAAGTTTGTCTTTTCTGTTACAGAAACTGACAGATGGTTGTGATAAAAGGAATAACAAAGGCTGATGAATTCTTTCAGATTGAACATCTTGGGCTTAGGTTTTTTAGGGTTTTTGTTAGTGTGATTTTGTATCTAAAAGAGAGGCTACTTGTGCATGTTTTTCATTACTTAGAGTTTCAGTGTTCTCTCCCAGTCAAAATTTTATCTTGATCAAAACATACAAAATAAAAAAAAAATCACATGTCTTCATCTGTCAGAGCTGCTGTTTTTTCTGAAAGGTAAGTTTGGAACAGAGGAGGTATGTGTATACTTTTAGTTCCTATTGAAGTGTGTTGAAAGCATGACTGTCTAAATTTCTGTGTAGCTTTTCACTGCAACAGTTATGTCCCAAAGAGAAACTCAGCTTGGGAAAAAAAGAGAGATGTGAAAGATAACAGACGACAGTCAAACAAATATGCATTTTGAATTGAAATATACAAAAATGAAAGAACAGGTGAAATAGGAAGTGCTTGTTCTTCATACTGCCTCAGTCTGCTAAGGTTTTCTGAGTTTAGCCTTCAGAATTTTTTAGCCTGATTTAAGTATCCTTCTTACAGTGACAGACTGGATATTGGACAGAGACCCACAAGAAGAAATACTCAAGGCATTCAAATTGTTTGATGATGATGACTCTGGTAAAATAAGTCTGAGAAACCTGCGCCGTGTTGCTAGAGAATTGGGTGAAAACATGTCTGATGAAGAACTGCGGGCTATGATTGAAGAATTTGATAAGGATGGAGATGGAGAAAGTACGTGTTAGCAAACAAAAACCCATATAGTCTGTTCTTCATTTTCTTCTCTTTTTAAATGTGGTTTTCTTCTGGAAATGTCCTATTCTGTTTCCTTCTCAATAACTTTCAGCTCAAACTTAATTTAGCTAACAAATAATGAAATTGGTTTTGACAGCTACTAGTCCTGGAAACACATCTTGGGAGTCTAAAAATTAAGTTGATTTCTCAAGTTGATTCACCACTAACTGTTATTCAACCAATATCTATTAAAAGTTTGGTGAAAGTGTAGTTGAAGGTGGAAGTAATTGAACTGGTACATGGGAGATGCCATGTACATACATGACATTTTTATTTCCTTATAAATCAGTAAAAGGATTAAAGTGCTGAGAGAAACCCTTGATCACCTAGTCAGTATTTCTTCAGTGGTGATGTGCTGCTGTTTGTGACTTAAGTGTGGCAGTCAGATATGGAGAATTAAGCTAATAAATCAGTCTGGATGTACCCTGAGTCTATGCAGGATTAGCTTGGATAGGCCTTTAATGTACTTCTGAACCTTAGAGCACTGAAGAGCATAGTGTGAAAGATGGCTCTGGGCAGTCGACAAGATCCATACAGATTGGGCTGCAGAAGGGATTTATTAGCTAGATAAATAATGAATTAACAGATCCAGTTTGATACCGTGCTTATTAAATCTTCGTGAATGCTGAAACAGATTTTTTTCATTAACTTGAAAACACCCGTATGTTTACACCAGAAACCTTAGTATCTGAATTTCAGGGACCACTCATTTGACACCATCTACAGTAAACCACTGCATTTTTGACATTCATCAAAATCTACTTCTGAGTTTTTCTTTCAGGATAGTGACTCATGTCTGAGATTTCACTAGCAGTTCATCAACTTTTCCATTTGCAATAGTATTTCTTGTGAGCTGCCGCATCTGTTGGACTCAATAGTCTCACTACTAGTGGAAAAAATCTGCATTGTCAGATTTGTGACAGACACTTCTTCCTAGAGATAGATGTTATTGCATACTTGGGAATACAATTACTTGAGTACTGAAACAACCCCTTTTCTTTCAAGAGGAAGAGCAGGGCTTTTAAATATGGCCACTGCTGTGGAGATGTGAACCTTTTCTCTTGTAGTGGTGTAATATACAGAGCCTGGAAACAAAGATTGTGAAAGGTCAGTGACTCCACTGCCAGAAGAGTGTTAATGTTGATGCTTAGTACTAAAGTGAGTGTTGAGAAAAGTGTGTGATTTCTTTCTTTTTGGAGCTATTGTTTTCTGATATCTTTCTATGGTCTGAGACTATGGTTCCTTAATAAATCCATACTGCATAATTCTGCTGGTATTCTACATTCCCAGCTGTGCCTTCTCACCCATTTTTTGCACTGGCAGTATCTGATCCCACAGGTGAGATGTTTAAGGGAGGTAAGCCAGGACAAGAAAACAATTCATTTAGGTTTTTGTTGTTTTTCTTTCTATTGGAGCCCTGAACTGTCTTACTCCTTGATCAGATTTTCTTGATCTGCATCCTGAGAAAATAGATTTTGTTTTTTTCTCAGTGTTTCTTATAGGATAGTTGAAGCAGGTGAGTATAGTGGAAGGTGCAAATCCTATTTTCAGTCACCTATCTGTGTAGTGACACAGAGGATTGCAGCTGTGAATTCTGGCAGACAGTAGGATACCTATTTCGTTTTCAGTAGCTGCGAAGCAGGGAAGAAATGATGTCTGTTTTCTCAATCCATTAGATTGATTGCTAGTCTGCATAGATACTTTCGTTTTTAGCTTGTTTTGCTTTTAAAAGGACAAGTTATAAGGACACTGCATTGCTAGCTTGACTTTTTTTTTTAAGGTTAATTTTTTGGGAATCAGCAGGCGCATTTTGTTCTGTGTTACTCTCCTGGAGATGCCAGTTGAGATGTCGAAGTCAAGGATCAAGGATATTTTTTTATCGTGTGGCTATTTGGTCACTACAAATTGAATGTAGACCACTAGCTCCTTTCAAGAAAGTTACTGAGTCATCATTACTTTGGGTCAGTGTTACCTTTTTGAATTCAAATTGATCAGATACGAGTGGGTGGCTGTTTCCTCTTATTCATCCATTCATTCTCTTTGTTACAGTAGTCAAGCACAAGATCAGATATGGAAGATTGACAGCATAATGTTTGTATATGGTGTTGTTTATCCTTAAGGTTCTGTGTGTTTTCTGTTCTTTAAAGAAAACTGATGCTGTTTCTGTCTTTTTAAGATTCATCCTGAAAAAGTAAATAATCCTGTGAATCACTGTTCCATTTAGCTTCAAACATCTGGGTCATGTAGCAAAATCTTGCTGTCATCTAATTCTCCTTCTTTTCCTGCCAAAAAAAAAAAATTATCTGGAACTGTTAGTTGGTAGCATTTTTAATTGTGACTTCAAATACAGAAATAATACCACTTGTGGTTTACCAGCCTTCTTACATTTGAGAGATTGTTTTGCTTATAGTGAAATAAGGTCTGTTGTGTGGTATGCAGGCTACTTGAACCCTTGTGTTTCCAGCAAAACCACTGAGCTGTAGTGGTACACTGTCCATAACTTTCCATAGAAGGTATTTTTGACATTCTTGTCTGCCTTAAAAACATATATAACCTTATTCTCGTACTCCTGGTGTTAGAAGTGACTTTTGTTTCAGAGTATGACTATTTTTAGAAACTCCATACTGTCAGTTCATGCAGTTTTTGTCATCTTGTGTGGATGCATCTGTAGGAAACATGATCCAGTCTTAGGTCCCGGGTTTTGGCACAGAATTGGGAAGAAAAGCCTCCACTGAAATAATATGTTCCTTTAAGCCCCTAGAGTCAGAGTCAACATTTTCTTCATATTAGCTGTGATACTTGCTTGTTCTTTTACAATCATTTATGTCATGGAATTGAGGGAAATCTGACACTAGGAAAGACTGTGATTGACTCAGTGATTGTGCTTACCTTGTAAACAGATCCTAAGTCTGAGGAGGATTAACTGAGTTACTGGGAATTGTAACTACGCTTCTCTTTGCAGTTTGTTTGAATGTTACAAAAATCTGTTCATCATTATAATATTGTATTTCCACTTTGCAGCATTGTTTAAAAAAGATGTTTGAATATTTTTGGGGGGATGTTTGCAGTTGTGCTGTTGCTGTGCTAAAGCGGTGGAAATGCTTTTTAAAGTCATACAGGCAACATAGTGCTTATGTATAGCAGAACATGTAGCTATATGATAGACTGATATTTCAGAGTATAGGGTCCTAAGCTAGACTTGTTTCATACTTTTTGACATGTGTCACAACAGAGCAGATTTAGGTCTATTTTTTTTTATTCTTTAAAATAGATCAATTTGTTTAATTTTCTTCTATGTGTAAATGTAGCTCTTACTTTGCAATGCTTTGTTTAGGAATAGCTTGGGCACGTTGGCTGGTACAGATAATTGTCAGGGAGAATTCTTCATACGTGTCTGGTCTTTTCCATTGCACTGACTTACTCTAATCATTCCCCACTACAGTAATTAGTTGCACAGCGAACATGTTCGTTGGTTAACTCTTTTGCAGTGGCTCTGTTTTAACATATGAGTAAGGTCAATAGCTCAGCTATAAGTGCAGCAAAATAATTAATGACTGCTAATTAATTTATTATTATGACTTAATTTCTTAAAGTACATTTGTGTAAGATTTCTGGTAATTAGAACTGAAGAATGAAGAAAGTTCAGATGGGTAAAAGCTTGTCAAAAGTCCATTTTAATTCCAGCTAATTTATGGAATCATAAGTAAATGATCTTAAAATTAATTTTGTATTTGGCAAGTGTTACAGGCTTGAGAGAGAGGAATAGCTTGGTTTAGGGTGTGGGGGTGGTTTGGACATAAATGTCTGAATCATGATTTTAAGAATAAAACTGAATTTGATTGTAACTGGAGCTGCAGTATTGTTGCTTAAGAAGCAATTAATAAAATGTATCTGCCATTTTTAATGCTTTTATAAATCTTAAAAAACAAGTATTTGTTTTTGCATAGCCATGTTTTTACATACTTGCTGTTTTTTTCTAGCTTGTTTACTTCTAGAATATTTTTACTTTCATAATTAGAAATAATAGCATGTTATATGTGAGCTAGATTCCGGCTTAACCACATAATTCAGCTTGCATTCTGAATATTCCTTTCACATGAGAAAAAAAAAAAAAAGTGCAAAATCTCTATTTTAGAAGAAAAAAACCCGAACTTGTAAACCCTGATTAGTAATGGATCAGTCACAATGAACACTAACTGCAAAACCTTCAAGTAAAAAGTATAATACAGATATACATTATTTTCGTTTATGGTTTATGGATTTTTGCGGGTTGTCTTAACGATTTTCTCTTTTTCTACAGTCAATCAAGAAGAGTTCATTGCTATTATGACTGGAGATATTTAGCATTAGAAGAAAAGAAATGAACTCAGCACAAAGGGGAGGAATCATTGGCAGCTTCCATTACAATGTTTTGTACATTCATTCATTTCTGTAGCTGGAGTGATGCAGAAAATTACCTTCCTCACAGGACCAAAATAAAGACAGGTTATATCCACTTATAGTTCAGCACTTTGTATCATTAAATATTATCACTAGAATAATTGATATATCATTTTAGAACAAGTCAGTAATGCTGCATTTGAGAATGTTCGAGTACTCATTTGTAAAATAGCTTTGTATAGGATTTCTAAATTGTATCATATTACAAGAACCTTTTGAGGTTGACTTTGTGTTAGCATTAGCTATGGCCTTAGTTTTGATACATGAGGTTTGACAAACTTCCATTTTAATAAAATGTTCTTTACTATTGCTACTTGAAAGTGTTATTTTGTAGTTTAATTTGTACTGGACTATAATGTAAAATCCTTTAGGGAAAGGAATTTTTTTTCATTTATAGGCTTATACTTCCGCTGTTCTAGATGAATGGTAACATTAAATGAGCAAGCATTTGCATCCTCAAAGATGCAATTTGTTAACTCTGTATTACCCCTGTGTGATAGCAAAGGACAGGCAACTATATATGATGATAAACTGGTATCAAAAATGTGCTTAAATCATCCAGATGTCAGCTAGCAGCTCTCTCTTCAGTATCTACAGCTCTGATCGCTGTGGAGACAATGAAAACTGTTTATGATGATTAGATGCTATTTCTGCAGTATCTAATTTTTAAAGTAGTTGAAGAGACTGGATATATTTCTACTCTGTCTTCCAGAAGAGTTCCTGTGGGCTGATCTTCCAGATTTCCTGTATATTAGTTGTACTTTCTTATTTTTAAATTTCACTCTCCTTATATATCAAAAAATTTAAATCTTGGTAATCCTGTGTTCATCTTTATTGTCAGAAAAGCAGCTGTTTTTTAACTGTCAGTAATCCTGGGGTCATGAACAGGTTTGCCCTGCACAAACAATCAGAGGTTGGTATTTATTGAAGATGGAAGTGAAGGTCATCAAAGTTAATAGATTTTTCCTGTCATTTTTCAAGTGTGTATTGTAAAATTCTTATCTGTGAAATACTGTGTTGCTCTCTATTAAGCCATCCATACCAGTCCATTCATACAGAAAGGTACAGCAATTCAGAATGGCTAGCAGTGGGTCCGTGTAACTGATCAAGTATGGAGAGATGCCTCGTGTAGAACCCCCGTGGGGTACGTGGCCATCAGCTGGGTCGCTCTCACTCAGACATCTTTCAATCTGCCTTTGCTAGGAAAGGACATTCTTCCTGTTGAGATACTTTCATTTTGTTTTTGTTTTTGTTTTTTTTTTTTTTTTCAAAATTAATTATGCAAATAGGGAAAAATGGTAGGTTTAAAATTAACATGAAACTTGTGGGAACGAAGGAATAATTGGTATTTGCCAGGAAATTTAAGTCTTCTTAATGTTATGTTAATGTCTCAGTCTTAAAGTTTTACTTAAACTTCCTCCATGCTATATCAGAGGTGCATTTTATAAGCAGGTTCTTGGTCAGAAAGTTAACAGCATGAAGTATTTGCAGGATAAAGATTAGTGTTTTATTTGCAGGATAAAGATTGGTGTTTATGGGCAAAAATTCTGCTATATATAGTATAAACACACTTTATTTCTTTTATATTAATTCCAGTATAAATAGGTGGGAAAGGGGAAAAATAAGACTTGAAGGATTCTACCGTGCAAGAGAAAATCTTGCTTGGAAATAAATACAGAAAACTTCTTACAAGTCGGGTAAAATGCTTTAGAATCCAATAGCAAAAACCAGCCCATATGAAATACAAAACTTACTTTAAAAAAACCCCTACCATTTAAAAAAACCCAAACAAAACAACAAAAAAGCCACAAAACCCAATCCAACTTTTAACCAATATTTTGCAATCTTACCAGATTTGTTTGGGAGATGAATATTTAGGGGAAAAGATTCAGTGTTTGGAACTGAGCCTATGAACAGCTCTTAACAGGTATTTTTGAGGAACCAATATAAGAATTGTCCAGTAGTTTCTGGCTTTGCTTTTAACTTCTTAGGTAAACTATTTCAGGAGCATTTTTATTTTCTGCAGATAGTAGTAGTGATAAAAAACTTAATAAAGAACTTGGTCATCAAAAAACTTTTTCCCTGTGGATCATACCTTTATTCTGAATGTGTCAGTTTTCTAATACACTGCTGTGGCAGTTGAACGACTGGCTTTTATGGGGATGTTACGGTTCTGTTCCTCCGTAGATGGCTGGTAATTATTTCTAGATGGGTGTCACCTTCTGTCTGTAACTCTTCCAGGAAGATGCACTTTGTCTCTCCTGGCTTGAGGCCTTATTTCTAGCTTTTGCAATGTACTTGAAAGATCTTGCTTTATTCTTGCAGATGTGGCAGCACTTGTTAATGGCTAGATAACAATAGTGCAGTGCTCCATAAGCACGGACCAGTGAACGGGAGAGGTCTTACAAGTTGCTCAGGCTGTGGGAGTGGCACTGAAGAAAAGAAGAAGAGACAATCAGCATAGTATTTCATGATACTGTCTCAAATGTTCAGCTTTGCTTTTTCTTTGCATTTCACCATTAGGGATATTCCTGCATTCCGAAAGCATGCTTGTTTTGTGCTGCTGACTGGTGAGCTTCTTGCTGTTTTCTCTACTGGGGGTGCAGCAGTTTCTGTTGGCTTGATACTGACCGACAGTAATTGGGATAGATTGGTATCAACAGCTTAGTAAGGTCTAAGCTCTAAACTTGCAATTGTCTGCTTGGCCACAGCAGTGACACTTAACGTTCAACTCTATGTTTTGTGGAGTTCTCACCTATCCTGGTGCTTTTGGTAGTTTGCTTCGTGTATCATAGGATACAGATTCCCAGTTTTTGTCTTTTTATTTGTTGATATCAGAGGAGGGAGGGAGTAATTTGGCAGCACATTTAAATCTTGTCTGTTGTAGAATAGTATCAGGGTTCAACAGTCATCATTACATATTTAAAAGCTGCAAGGTGAACGTGTGCCTTATTTTTAGACTTGTAAAGGTGAGTAAGTGTTAAAATAGCAGGGTCTGATGTACCTGGGACAAACGCTTCTGTGTCACCTCTGCTGTGGAGGGCAGTGATGTCTGGTAGAAGTCCAAAAATGGCAGCTAAGGGAATGTCATAATCCATTGCACTGAAATCCACTGGAGCCTCTCTTGAAGTGCTTACAGTAATAACTGTGCCAACTAGCCCATCACTTCTCTAATTAATCCCATGCAACTTTGAGGAAATTGAGAACCTCCAGACGAATGAAAACACCATGTCAGTGCAGTGTATACCAAATGTTGCTCTGCTGGCTTATTTTAGAACAGTCTTTATGCTAAGTTTGTCACGTCGAACATTTTTGGTTTGTGTTTATTCATGGGACAGCTTCCATGGCACGGTTAAGTCATCAAAAGTCATTTGAAAATGCCAGTGTTCAGGTTACATATGCGTCGTCACGTGGAGGCTCCGCCTGCCTTCAGAAGCACCCCGGGAGCGCTCTGGTGACGTGGCTGCCCTCACCACACGTGGCAGAACCTTGCTTAACCGCGCCCTTGAAGCTTGGCAAAGGGGAAAAGGAAAACCACAACAACTTGGCTGGTGACGGAGCGGAGGCCAAAGAGGCGGTTTGTGAAGGCAGGGATAAAGCGCTGGGAGGAGGCCCAGCTGGCCCCGAGCTTGGAGCAGAAGGACGGGGGGTCCGTGCTGAGCCACAGGCCTGTGCAGGAGGAACGGCAGCCCAAAGCGGAGGGCGTCTGGGTCTGTGGTGATCTCTCTGCCCCTGGCTGGGCTCCTCTCAAGTTCACAGCGAAGCTCGTGGGTGCACCTCCACTTCTTGCAGCGTGGCTGCAGCGCAGGAAGACGCGTCACAGGAGGCTGGCACTGGCATGAAGCTGGACATGGGGAAATCCTTCAACTTCCAAGCTTCTGTCCTAAGCAAGTTTTGCAGGCCACGTGGAGTTCTGGGATGTCGCAGCTTAGTAAACATCGTTAGCAGAGGTTTTTATCACAAATGACACGGGAACAGAGGATAAGGATAAGGATAAATCCGGTTGCCCTGTAGTTTGCTTGTAGTTGCTCGTAAGGCCTCACATAGTTGGAGTTTTTTGTTGACCGGCGTCTGATGGGTGCACTGCTTGCATAAGCAACCCTTGGTTTTGTCTAACTGGGTCCTACTGTTAAGGAGCTAGCAACTGTGACTGCAGCTTGCCTTGCTGCACACAGAACCATATCTGAAATGAGAGCTGCATTTTTCTTTGACTTCTCGATTAAGGCCAAGAATTTGTAGAAGATAGTGGCTGGCACTAGCAGAACTTTTACAGGAGTCATTTTCTGTAGTGCTCTTGCAGAGGAATAACTGCTGCTCAAGTGAGTCTGTAAGGATGCTGAGAATGTTTTCATCTTTGAGTAACAAAAGAAAAATGATTGCACAGAGGAAAAAAAGGTCAATGTTTTGAGCACTTCTACCTTCCCTAAGGTACACTGAGAGAAAATTTGGACAAATCCATTTGGGCAGTCCCACTAAGATGTCATACACTTTAACAGAAAACCAGTAGAAACATCATAAACATCTAGAGAATCTGCAAGTGTCTTTTATGATAGCTCGAATGGTTCATCTACTGTAAAACTGTTGCTAAGCAAAACGAACATGTTGGCAATTACCAGCAGTCAGAAGTGATAGCTCTCAGAATATATAATAAGTGGGAACTTTCCATATGTAGGTCTTTTTGAAATTGCATATGAGTGTTTAGCCAGTGGAGGTTGTATTTGCCACTTCTTAGCCCTTACTATTTTGAAAACTACTTCACATATACAGGAATATTTAAAGGAATTCCAAAGGAATAAATAATTAAAGGAATAATTTCTTTAAGGTATTCCTCTTAAAGGACTAAAGATTGGGTTTAGCAGGAAAGGGCTACTTTACTGAGAGAGATCCATTTAGATCCAGGCACACTTTACAAATAAGATTGCCTAAAATGTTTTGCGGAAGTGGTTGTTAGAACATCTGGATAAACTTGTTTTATTGCAGAGCTTCATTATGAATGCATTATTTTAATTATAATTTCATGAAATGAACTTCTGAAAAGGTCTTCGCTTTTTTCTTTTTTCCTTTTTTTATTTTTTGTTTTGGTTTGGTTTGGTTTGGGTTTTTTTGAGGCCGTGACCTTGAAGTTTGATTGACAATAATGCCTGCTTTATTGGTGTGAACAGAATATGGACAAATTGTGTTGGCAGAAACTTGCAGTAATTTATACCAAGTTCTGTAATGCTTTTTTGCATGACAGCCTCTCCCAGGTGTTGGAAGGAGCCCTTACCTGGCCGCTACTGGAGACAGAGAAGTTGCAACGCAGCAACGGTTCCATCTGTAA